TGTTGTTCATGCTGTGGTGTTCTTTATTGTGGTGTGTGATGGTGAGAGAAACAGAGGCCAGCCGGGTGGGTATCATTTGAAGCACAAGGGACATGTCCGAAATATGATAATATCGTCTAACGACGTTTGACTTGACTTTAATAGTGGGTTACGTGCCTTCCGGATTAAAACTATTAGCCTCAGCTAAAAATCCAGACTTGACGTTTTTCCATCAAACGTTCGTTCGCTGCCAAATAAAATAGACGATCTCTCGACACTTTCGGAATACCGTTTCAAGTAATAATGTTAAATGAAATTTGGTTGACGCCCACATCAGACATTCTTTGTTCTTTATTCAAAGGTTACCCCGCATTGCCCAAAGGCGTTACAGTAGGGGGGTTACAAAAACGACATAAACAATTCTTCATTCTTACAGCACACTTGCATGACAGACAATCCATTCCACTCTTTAACAGTTCTAACAAAATATGAATTCGCGAACAGGTGGTTACAGAAACGGCATAAACAATTCTTCGTTCTTACAGCACACTTGCATGACAGACAATCCATTCCACTCTTTAACAGTTCTAACAAAATATGAATTCGCGAACAGGTGGTTACAGAAACGGCATAAACAATTCTTCGTTCTTACAGCACACTTACATGGCAGACAATCCATTCCACTCTTCAACAGTTCTAACAAAAAATGAATTCGCGAACAGGTGGTTACAGAAACGGCATAAACAATTCTTCGTTCTTACAGCACACTTACATGGCAGACAATCCATTCCACTCTTCAACAGTTCTAACAAAAAATGAATTCGCGAACATGCTTCAGCTTCCTGGCGATCAGTCGTTCTTCCGTAATCGTCGGCATAAGCGAGGGGATGGTATTGCTCTTTCTCTCAAGGACAATATCTTGGCTAAGCTCGTGGACGATTCCACTGATATAACTCCTTATTATGGGGTGTTAACAAGGCAGAGCCATAACAACATGTTCTCCGTCATGTCTGGTGGTGCGACCCGATTTATTGTATTTCTTGAAAAGCGTTTCATTTATTCACCACAGGAGAAAATCAACATGGTCTTAGGTGGTGACGTCAATATAAACATGCTTTCATCATTCCCGCTACAAAACATTCGGCAGATCCCACGCACCTGGGAATTCACGTTATGAGAAGTATGCAGAGGGAAGGTGACCATGTAGCAATTTTTTTATTGAGCAACACGTCATGACATGGCGATATATATATGTACAAACGCTGCACCCATAGACATATGTTGAAAAGTCGCAGATGTTTATATAACCAGTTGTTTGGACTTGCACAACGATGCCAACTGCAACATGCGTATTAGCAACTCCAGAAGCTTATATGAAGCGCTGATGCTCGCGACGATGCTGGCGCTGGACACTGCTACATAAATCAACTTCAGCGCATGGCTGTATCAAAGAAGTGCACATGTAATGCTTATAAAATTGGGTAGGTAGCATTGCAAGCACTATTGACGTTTCACGTCTATTTGAAAATAAGTTCCGAGACATGGCGTAGCTCTGCGGTAAGATGCTTCACTGCCACGCAGAATGCTTGGGTTTGATTCTAGCTGGGACCCTGGCATTTATTCCTTGCATTCATCGAGTCGACGCCACCGATGTCGGGAATTCCTTTACGCTCGCGCGTTAAAATTGCCCATGTGTGTTCTCGTCGTTCCTGGGGATACATACTAAGTGTCAATCTCCTGTGGCACATACCCGCATAGCAGCGGCACATACCCGCCCGTGGGTATGTGCCACTGTTTGGCGGAAAGTGTTTGACGACGTGCGTGACGGGATTGGGACATTATTCATGTTTTGACCAGCGCGCCATATTCGTCAAACCATCTTACTCTCCCAAGTTAATTTTGGTTCGCGTCAAGTTAAGGGGGTGACCACAAGAGCACCCAAACGTAAGCGGCTAAATAGATAGATAGATAGATAGATAGATAGATAGATAGATAGATAGATAGATAGATAGATAGATAGATAGATAGATAGATAGATAGATAGATAGATAGATAGATAGATAGATAGATAGATAGATAGATAGATAGATAGATAGATAGATAGATAGATAGATAGATAGATAGATAGATAGATAGATAGATAGATAGATAGATAGATAGATAGATAGATACGCTCAAGGTCGCTGAAGCTCGCTAAGAAATGCTTCACTTTTAAAAAAAATTCTATTCACTCATCACAATGTATGGTTTTTCAAACATATCTTCTGCAACACACGTGACCATATATGGTGCATTCCTATTAGATGTATTCATCTCAGATATTACCACCGATTTGCTAGAGGTCGTCGTTGTGTACACTGGCATTAGTTATCACTTATATATTATATTAAATCTAGTGAAACAAAAGAAGCAGTTCTTATTCGATCTATCACGTCATCAAATCTTGAAGCATTTCGCCAAGCTATTGCCCAAGAGGCTTGGCATAGCGTTTATCATGCGGAAGATAGTGACTTTGCATACACTGCTTTTATTAGCAATTTCAAAACTTTTCCCAAAGAAACATTTTCCCAACGAACATTCCCTCCCTCCAAAAAAAAAAAAATTACCACGTTCATTCAAGGCACGAAAACATTGGCTAACGTCTCAGCTTCTTGGTATGGTTAAACGCAAACATTCGCTGTACGCTCAATTTGTAAAATATAGAGATCCAGCCCTACTATGCGAGTTCAAGAAATATTGAAATAGTTTAACTAATGAACTTACGGTTACAAATGATGATTATTTTGTAGCAATAGTGACCCAATCTATCAAAGAAGTGATGTAGTCTGGCGCAAACTGAATGCTTTGTTAAAACCTACCTCGCTTTCAGTTATTACAGGTGTTTTGAGTCATAACAGGTAAAAACTTTTCGGAAATGTGATACCGAGTGCGTTTAATGATATATTTTTATTGAAACCTCAGTGAAATGTTGTTGATGGCTATAACAGCTATGATCAGTTCCTGTCTGTAAAAGCGTTCAGTAACACTCTATTTTTTGCCCACCTATCCCACTAGAAGTTATTTTTTGCTTCAGTAATATTGGTAACAGCTCCTCCTTGGACTTGGAGATTCGCCCTATAAATTTTTTATGCCCTGTACTTCCCCATATTTATAATATAATATTATATACAGGTGTATTTCCAAAGCAAGTGTTGACGCACGCGTTGTTCCAGTCTGCAAGCATGGTGATAAAGAAAAAATAAACAATCATTGACCTATTTCCATAATTGCAATGTTTTCATAAGTGATCAAAAAGTAATGCATATCAGATTGTTACCATTTTTAATCACCACGACTTCATTCAAGATTTTCAACATGGATTCAGGAAGAATCGCTTTACCGAAACAGCCCTCTTGGCTCATAAATAAATAGTTATAGATGCAATTAGTCGTAAGAAAAAAGGGATTGGGTACATACGTCGATTTTTCAGTCATTTGACTTAATTGATTATTCCATCCTTTTCAGCAAATCAAAAAAGTGTGATGTGCATGGAACAGCGCATACTCTTTTAAAATTCTATTTTTTCGACAGGACATAATTCGCAAATGCCAACAATCTACTATCTTCAAGGAAGCCGTTCGTTGACGGTGTGCCACAAGGAAGTATTTTATGACCACGTTTATTTTTTATTTACGTAAATTACATTGTATACACTGTTCAGAAAACGCAACATTTGTCTCTTAGGCCAATGACACAACAGTTTTTATTACAGGGAGCTTCAAAACTGAGATACAGGTGATGGCTAATGAAACACTGTCTGCCGTAGATTCCTGGACTTCAGCAAACTTATGAAAACTAAACACTTCAGAAATACGTTATTTTACATATGCCTAAAGGAAGAACCTTGACAAATAAGATCGATTCATTTCTGGGCTCTCATCAGTTAGATATGGTTGATTCTGTTAGTATCCTTGGAGTATATTTTTCACGGCACCTTACGTGGAATGTACAGGTCGATAGCCTACACTCTATAATGTCATCAGCCATTGGTGTCCTTGCATGCACGCGATCTATTGTTCCTACTAAGTAGAAAATTATGATATACAATGCACTGGTATTATCTTTCTTACAGTACTGTAGCATAGCGCGGTGCGCTACCGAAGTGACAAGTCTGCGCAAGTTGTACTTACTAGTGAAAAGAGCCATACGACATGCGGCTGCTGTACAGTATCTGTCCTCTACAAAACTTTTTCTAAAATAAGAAATTCTTCCAGTTTTTTGTACAATGCACTGGTATTATCTTTCTTACAGTACTGTAGCATAGTGCGGTGCGCTACCGGAGGGAGAAGTCTGCGCAAGTTGTACTTACTAGAGAAAAGAGCCATACGACATATTGCTGCTGTACAGTATCTGTCCTCTACAAAACTTTTTCTAAAATATGAAATTGTTCCTGTTTTCTTTTTGTACAATTACAGGCTGATTTGCTATAAAGAGGGCATTAAGCATGACACCAATACCACAATTAATCTTGCTAAACTCAAACGCATGTGTTCGACCCACCAGGCACGAAGAAGTTTGCAATGTACCCACCCCTAGAACTTTTTATAATGAACGATCATTGTTCTATAGGCTACCTTCCCTACTAACCTTCATAAACCACAAAGATCTTGATATTTCGTCTAAACAAAACTGTCACATCAAACACTTCGCCCAGCTCACTTATTTGCCTGAATAATACATTTCTCGTAATTTCGGCCATTCTTCTGATCGATTGTTGCTTTTCCATGTTTATGCCACTTCATGATTATATATTTCATCTATTCTCTTTCTAATTTAGGTGCTTTGTTTCATAAATTTTGTATTACTTTATGCGATGTTGTCCAACGTGCACGTTTATTTGGTTTCTTTATGCATGATTGTCTGTCCTTCCTGCTGCTTTGCCAACTTGTAACTGGTTCGGGACCTCGTTAAACTCTCGAGATTTTAGTTCATGTACTTCTCCTATAATAAAGAAATCGATCGATAGATTGATTGATTGATTGATTGATTGATTGATTGATTGATTGGGATGTTTTATTGCGCAGTCAGTTACAAAATAATAAGAAAAATTCCCACCATCTCGTCACATTCAGTGCATCTGTCATACGAGGTTGGAATACCCCTACATAATAAACGCAGCAATAGTTGTCAGCTGCAGATATACGTTGACGTTACAAAAAAAAGCACGCTTGAAGCTTGTTGCCGTGGTAGTTACTCCTGTTTGTAGAGTTGAGCCAGAATAGGAATGAATTCCTGAAAAGAGGGAAAATGGAGAACAAATTTACCCGAGGAAGTGCTTTATTCACTTAGAGTAAATGCAGAACAATTTAGCCTGTAGAGCACGAACTACACTTTCTTCTAAGCATTCTTTCTAGTCTCCATAAGGAATTAATGCATGAATGAATCTAGTTATGCCAGCCAGACGTCTTCCTGTATCACTGAAATTCCTATTTTTCACACGAAAGAGTTTTATGCCGGAGTCCACCAAGAATTCAGTGACGTTATTCTGTCACGGAAATGACGTCTAGAAATACCTTCCGGGAGAAAAAAAAATCGTCAACAGAAGTCAAACCCATGACCTTTTGGTCGGCTACAACAGCTGCCGAGCACACTATCAACATCGCCACGGTCACTTTTTTTTTTTTTTTTTGCACTGCGCCACTGTCACATACTTTTAGGCTTTAAAAACACGCCTTTCATATCTATGAATTCGCTTTTACAGTACTCTTGGAAAAGTATAATAATGTATTATCACAATGGAATTGACGATTAGTTCATTTAACGCATTGTTTCCTCGCATCCGTCCAATTTGGTGGCTTTCCAATAAAAGTGCAATTTAGTCAACGCCTTAATCACTGCCAGGTGGCGACCCTACCCAAAGCGTCGGCGTGGCTTACAGCATCCACCCATAACAACAGCTCTGCAACTCATATGGCAACGCGCTTGCTTTGCTTGGATCATAAAGTTTCCTAAAATCAACTAAAGGGGACTCTGGCGTTGCGATCGTTCAGCGACCATGGGAATGATGGATAGTACTCGGGTTCGCCCAGTCTTCGTACTTTCTGGCGGTGAACCACACTTCTGACTTCGTTTATTGCTGTGTGTCGGTTGTGTTTAGAAGAAAAGAACGAACCTTCTTGATCTTTGTGACACAATTTGAAATGGTAAGCCTAAAAAAATAGGATGGTGAAGCACAACCACCGAATATTTACTGATTTTTGTTTCGTGAGAAAACAGCTCCTAGCCACACGAACAAACATGAAGCCAGAAGTACGAATATTAGACAAATCCATGCACTGCCCATCATGTTCATGCTCACTGAAGAGCCATGCATCACAGCTCCCATAGACACTAGCGCCAGACTTGTCTAGTGTCTATTAAGAAACTTCATGGCCTCAATCATAGCCTTTAAGATTACTGTAAAACTAAGGTGATAACTAGGCACAATAATCAGATGACGCGAAAAATAACTGAGGCATTCGAGATTATCCATCTGGAAGATGACTGCGCCGGTATGGTTTCTTTGGCACTGACGCAGAAAGAAATTATGTACCTCAACCCATAATACAAGATGTGTGATAGGTGCGTGTTCCCTCGGAATGCCTAGTTATATGAATTGTACTGTATAAAAATTTCTTGCGATTCATCTTTGTAAACTTTTTTTTGTAACCATGAAACGAGAATACATAAAAGCATCATGTGTCTGCCCAATGAACTCAGTTGAAAGTTTGCGCTTGTGTCCGTCTAGTCCTTCATCCCAAGTGATCATTCACCTCCTCTTTCTGTATCAGAAAAAAAATAAAATAAACTTCAAACTTCAAACAGGAACGAAGTGTTCGTCTTTTAAGCAGTGCGCAAGAATGTAACAATCAATTACCAACTAGCCCAAGCAAGCACACTTACAAGATTCTAATGCATACGTCAGTGCATAATTTCTCGTGTCTTTGTATTAGTACATCGATCGAAAGATAAGACTTCACATTACCTCGATTTCAGTAGCACGTACCTCATGGATGACACCTTGTCGGCACGATAGGCAGCGAACGTGCAAAGTGTGCGTATTCACCACGAGAAAATGCTGGTTCTTTTCGGCATGATTCCCTAGGGCGTCGCTTTTGATTTCGCCTTCCAGCACCTGTGAAATTGCACGTCCCAGTTAGAGTTCATAATGCGCTATTCTTATTGTAATTCAATTTATATGTACCCGTGCACTCGGATATAACGAAATAAGGCATGCCTTGGAGCTTAAATAATTGTGGGTATCACCTAAAGCTGAGCTGTTAGAACGACCGCGCCGGAGAGGCGTTTGTCCCGGGTTCAAGCCGCGGACCATGACGAATCGTTGCCTTCCTTTTTGAGAAATTTGTGTGTATTTTCCCGTAGCTTTCTGCTGCCAACGGGAGGTCCCCCCCTCCCCACTCTTTTTTTTTAAGGACTGACGGCTAAGGATGACCATACGTCACCCAGGAGCAGGAACATATTATTACCACAAGGGTTCTGAGGTAAGCCTGTTTTTTTCATGAACATTACGGCAGAACAGAGTGATCTACAAAACACACGAGACACAGCACTCTCCCCCATTTCACGTTCTTCAAAATATTTTGAGGTTAACGTGCCTAAACCACCATATGGTTATTAGGCACACCGTAGCTGAGGGCTCCGGGAATTTTGACCATTTCTTCGTCACACTGGACAACTAGCACTTAACCTCTTTCGAAATGCGACCACTACGGCCGGATCAAACCTGTGGTCTTCGGGTCAGCCCTCAAACACCGTAACGACTGTTCCGACCCAACGGGCATTATCCCTGTCTCATATAGTTAGCTCAGTTCTGTCATAATGTAAATACGACACTGTTATGGTAATAACACATCCACTGTTGCTCAACAAACGGAGGGCGCTTAAGCATCGCCTTCAAGACTGGAATGCGGAAGCGAAACTGCGGCCCGTGTGGATCAACCAGGCTTCATGGAAAAGAACGTTTGTGCGGGTAGCATTGATCATTTCAAACTATCGTATACGTACTGCAAATACAGTTGCGAACGGCCCACTGAGCCATAAGCCTTCCTTTTGGGAATTTGCGAAGTGTATACTACTAATCGTCTGTGTGGTACCACGTGCACCTCGCAGCTTCACGCTCGGCAAAGTGTGGGCTGTTTTAAACCACCCGCTCGTAGCGCAATTCAAACTTTTCTGACGCCTGGTGCAATTGTATGTGGTTCTGCCATACAATGTTATATGCATAAAGGAGACGCCTTCCGCTACATGGCATTCATATAGCGGGTCTTTAAAAAGCAGTTTCAAGCACTATTGTCGCTCCGTTGCAGAATACCACGAAGAAAGCTGGGCCTCGATTATCGCTCAGACTGAAGATTTTTGTATTATTATGTATGCGCATCTATCTCAATTTTTTTTTTTGGTCACAACTAACGACACCGCCATCGACACCAACGTCGAAATTTCGGCGAAACGAACTCTTTACCGATATAATTGCGCTTCGCCTTATCTTGAAGAAGCGTCTGCCCTATAACTCACTTGAAAGCACGTGAGGCATATCCACTTGTTGAAATCGTCCAGGTTCCGCAGGTTTGCACTCAGACCGTGGCTCGGCAGGCTGCTGATCATGTTCCCATGCGGACAGTTCAGGACGGGGATCTGCCACTGATACCAGCGCACGCGTTATTGTGAGAACTTAAGGGTTAACACACATCACCACGTAGATGACTTATTCGGGTGTATTGACTATACTACAAAGCTGTGGTATCGCTCACATTTCCGCCCCTATCTATCCTGCCCTTGCCCATCATTGTCGCCAAAGTTCAATATTGTTCCCTTCTACTAGTATAGGTATTGATCTTGAGAATTTATCGACATCAACCCTGAGAAGTGGGGGAAGTTTCACCACACCGCCACCACCCTCCTTTCTTCTCAAACCCTTTCTACTGAAGTCTATGCGATCAGAATCTAGTGTGACCCCGTGCTTCCTCCCCATCTTCTTGTGCGCACGCATAAGCTCTGAAGTGTCCTCATTAGGCAAAAGAACCTCACACTCGTCGCTGAAGCTTCATTCTTTATTTAGATGAGCACCGTTTGATAACGTGAAATGCAATAATAATTTTCCTCTTCGTGATAAGTCATGGATACTATAGAGTATGGAGACCGTTTCACAATCACCATGTCACCCGTCAAAAGACCTACACTCAAAGAAAAAAATGGAGTATTCGGAGAGTAGTTCTGATACAAAACAATAATCGTGGGAGATGATTTAAACTCCGACCAAAAACTTTTTTCTTGTAGTTAAAATCCTCTCTCAGTTTCATACCCGACCAGACAGACTTCTGTCGAATGTTTACATTCTAACAATAATCGTCATTTGACTTGCTCGCATTTCGTTTCATGAAAACCCAGCGCTGGCAACATTCAAGTCGGGATTCATCTGTGACATTAATAACGCGCGCCCCGTTTGCGACCACGAAATACCGTAGCCGTGGGGATAGCGCGAGGAAAGTATACTCCAAGTAGATGATGATTATTGTTGTGTAGCAGAAACACTCCCCAAATAGTCGATTCTAGAGCGCTATTTATTCAAATACTCTTAAAAGGGTGTGCTATATTTGACTTGGTTAGATTTGCTCCTGCTACTCATCGATTCACATTTGAATCGGTCTCCAAAGCTTCATGCTTGTGCACCGGTTGGAATCTGTACGGCAGTGTTACCGCGTGACTGCGCTCTACGTGTAAATCACTGGCGAGTTATACCTCACTTGTTGAAATCATGCAGTAAGTAGTGAACGACTTTGAACTTACAGTTTCAATGTCACATTCAGGCTCCACAACGATAGGCGTAGCTGTCGCAGGAAAATAAAAGGAGCAGTTAGTTGACGCTAGCAAACCTTATATACCCTGCAAGAGAAGGTGAATTCTCGGAGAATCAGAAAGTACCACGGCTGTAAATATGGATGCAAATCTATTAAACGTCTCACAACGCTGTCACGAGGAGTAACTCCTTTACTGGTGTTATAGATGTCCGAACGTATTACAGTACAGTACAGTACAGTACAGTACAGTACAGTACAGTACAGTACAGTGCAGTACAGTACAGTTACAGTACAGGACCAAAGACCAGCGTTAAACCCTGCTGTCGCACCTGGAATGCTTTTTCGCCATGGTTCTTTTGTGTATAGGACCGCTAGTGTTCACGCACAGAATGTTTTTGCTATCAGTGGGACGCATAGCGGTGTTTTAGCTTCACCCCGCTGTAGAATGGGCGAAGTATTAGGGTACGTGCACTTAACATATTACTCGTTTCAAAGCGCTAACTGCATTTGGAAACTCTAGAGACCTAACAGTGGAACCTTCCTGTTTGATTAGACCCCCTCGCCCCTACCCGGACATCGATACACTGACAGAACTATGCCACTTTGAAACTTTGAAACTTCATTTCGACGATAGTTATAGCGCGAGAACAAAACGACGACACAGAGACAAGAAGGACACGAAAGACACCTTGTCGTCGTTTTGTTCTCGCGCTATAACTATCGTCATGCCATACCAACTAGCCCAAGCTGCCACACTTCTAAATTTCATTTCGACATTCGGGATGCTCAGGGCCATAGTCGATAAGCCTATAATGAGCTTGATTAGGACACCTTCCCCTTTGGTGGCATAAACAACATTTTTATTGCTATGAAAATGTACGGTTTCAGCAAGAAGATTATAGTAACTGTTTACGCAAGTCAAGTAAACCATAAAGATTAAAAAAAATAGACTCAAAAGGTGACACTGGAAAAAAATACAAGTGATCGTAATTATTTCTTATGCATATTTGATTATAACGGGTGTTTGAACAACTTTGCGGTGGTTTGGTATGGTGATGATTTCTAAAAAGTTGTCGCCTTTTAATCCTTCGTGGTAGCGTTTTACCATTGCGCGCTAGTATTTCGGTAGAGTTAGTAGGTTCACGTCGTGAAATATGGGAGTGGTGTGACGGCAATAAGGAACATTTGCAATGACACGAACAGCCCTTTTCTGTATGACGCGCGATTCGCGGATATTGTTAACGTTGTCGTACCTCAGAGCAGACGACAGTAGTTAGCGTGAGATAAGAACAAGGATTTATAGATGAGAAGTTTCACTGCCTTAGGTAGCACGAAACACACCCGCGATAATATGCCCGAAATGTTTAATATAGTGCCAGATAGCTTGTAAGCATGTGCGTTCTAAGACATGTGTCCATCGAGAATTATTCCCAGGCACCTAACTTGCACAACCTTCACATAATTGCACCCCACCGCTGTGGTCTTGTAACTAAGGTCCTCGGCTGCTTACTCGTAAGTCGCAGGATTGAATCCCGGCTGCGGCGGCTGCATTTCCAATGGAGGCGGAAAGGTTGTAGGCCCGTGCTCAGATTTGGGTGCACGTTAAAGAACCCCAGGTGGTCGAAATTTCCGGAGCCCTCCACTACGGCGTCTCTCATAATCATATGGTGGTTTTGACGTTAAATTCTGCGTATCAATCAATCAATTCCCATATTTGCAGCAATGCGGGATCATATAGCCTGTGGCGAACGGCAAAATTATATGTTGCAGGACCACCTTCACGATGCCCTCAAGCCATCATCCACAGCGAATCAAGCACTTCGCCCTTCTGCACGCCATACGTTTACGCATGTTAAACAGTCTTCACAGTTGTTCTTCCTCGTTAACCCACAAAGTCTGATTCTGCATGCACTTCATAGGCAATGGTGAACGCGATCTACTCGAGCGAGTCATCACGCATAGAATTAAGACATGCTTCCTAAACATTATTTTTGGTATCAAAACTATTGTATGCATTTGTATTTTAAAAATTCGGGCAATTCGATTTCCTTGGTATGTTTCTGTTTATACATACGCGTACAGCATAACCATTGCATCACGCTGCGCAAGATAAAAAAGAAACAATAAGTTCTTGACAGTCACTTTTTTTATATTTACTCAAAACAATGTTGTTATAAACGCAGATAGACAACATTAGCTGGGACGGTCTACATTAGCCCAATGATCTCCAGTTGACCGCATATCCTGTCAGAGCTGATTTCATTTCCCACTTGTGACCTTCCCTATTTCATCACTCCGTGTGGCTCTCTGCCTTTCCCTCGACAAACCATTCTGTAGCTCTCGCTGTATACCGGTAGTCTATTTTATATATGCATTACGTAGACTGTCCAGGTCCATTTCTTTCGCTTCATGTCAAGTCACTTCTTGTTTTCGCCAAACAGGAGCAGGAAACGCTGACCTGCAGGTTACGAGCTACCCGCGACACGCAGCGGGCCGTTTGCTAATGCACTCTTAATTGAATTAAATGAATTCTTAAATGAATTCTTAAGCCCTCATGAGGGCTTGACAATTCGTGCTGAAGTCCATACCCCTCGATGCCGAATCAGCCGACTAGCTGTCAAATGTAACAATGGATATATTAAAAGAGAATCGCTTCTTTCCCATCAAAATGCAGCTGCTTTAAACTGCAGTTTCAAACATTTTAAGAGGTATAACGTCTATAGAGAAACGATAAAAAGTGTTCCAATTGTCGCATCAAGTGTAGGGGAAACTATAATGAGCGTTACTTTTCTCTTAGGCTGAATATTTTCTGTGTCAAACTAACGAACGAACTATGAGAAAAGATTAAAATTATATGTTACACGTCAATGCAAGAGTGCGGTGCTTTTGCAGATTGATGAAGCTGTCGAGAAAAAAACTGAATCTGTCAGAACTGTCATGGCGAGATGCTAGGCAACATCGGTACACATGTAGAAACATGACAAAAAGCTTTTGATTGACTTGAAGTTTTCAATAGATTATTTGACCAAGCGCCAATTAAACAATACCATCACAGTAATCAAGTTCGAACACAGGAGATGGAGCTTATAAATGGATAATGAGTTCCCATAACATGAGTAGTGCAACGATGTCTTCTTGTATGCACAGTGTGTGTGTGTGTGTGTTTGTTCATTTGACTGAAAGCAAAAAAAAAATCGTACGTTCTTCGGTAAGACACTTCCAGTATGGTGACACTGCCGCCTTAGCTCTCAAGATCGAGTTCATGGCACTGCAAAGAGAGAAAAAAAAATTGGTTGAGTCCTGACGTTTAGGCATAATGCTGTGTTCTTATGTTACTTAGTCTATTCATTCAAATAATAAAGTGCAGAAAAAGATGGGACCTTGAAGCGTTGAAAATTCACTTGAACACAGCGTGTCTCAGGACCGACGTTTCGAGAAGTGAACTTGTATTCTTGGCTTGGTAGACGCAGCTTTCACGAGGAGAAGACCGCTCGTCGGGACGCTGACTTCAGTGACACTTCGTGTTCAAACGAATTTTCTTTAGCCTATTTATGAAAAACTGTTCTATTGACATGCACTATCTGTAGGGACGAATGGACGAATATATTAATATTTAGTACGATAAGTAAGTGTTGTCGCCCCCACAGACTTTCGGGAGCTCTTTGATAGGCATCTCTAGGCAAGCATGGTCTACCAGCCAAAGCTGGTCGTTCGAGTGAGTGGCCCGAAAAGTGGCCTCCCATGAGGAAAAGAAAGGGTAGGTAATACTGAATGGGATCAGTGCATGTGAATGGGATCGGTGCACACATGGCCATCAGCTCCACTGTCTCTTTAGCATTGCGCTTCCTGCACAGGGTGCCCTAATTCTTTTTACGCTTGACACTAACCTCGCGGAGGGCTGCATGTTCGTCACAGAGCCGCAGGGATCGCCCATCAGCGTCGCCATGCAGGCAGCCAGGGACTCTGCCACTGCGTCCACGTTGTAGCCGCCCTGTTAGAGGGATGTCGGCGAGTCTTGAGAGTACACGTATTGCTGGTTATGGTCGAAGCATTATTACGACATTTCATTCACGACAAATACAAAAGATGAACCAATAAGCGCAAAGAGCTCAGCGTTATCATCCCAACTAACTAACTAACTAACACTAAATGTGACATTTCGGAGCAGCACTAATTTTAGGCCACAAAAGAAGTCGCAGTGAATTGTTCAACGAGGGCAAAGTAGCCGCAATCCTTGAAGTGCTCCGCCGTGTTCTCCCTCTAGAGCAGTCTGCCACTCCGAGTATATACCTCTGACATTCGTAAAAATGTTGACTTTGGCTACTTAGGGACAGTACAAAGACGTAGTATCGTATGGTGATGCTTCAGCCGGTCGACGCGCAATCTCCAGTACAAGGCGCATTTGATCGAAAGACATCGCAGGCGTCTTCCCCACAACACGCTAATTAGTTAATTAAGTAAAAATAATGATGTCATCTCGCTTCGAGGTGTGACAAAGACATGCCGATTGTGCCATCTATACAGACGCTGCTGCATTCATTGGAGTCACTGACGTTGTCACCGATGTAGTCAGGCAAGTCCACGTTCACCCGTATGCATCTCGATTCTTTTTCGTGAGATGATAGTTTCAGAATCTTATTGGCGAAACTTTTAGCTCAGGAATGTGTGAACGCCTACTGCGAATACCCAGCTATATAGAATCTGATTGGCTGAAGACTAATTCACTCGAATGGGATTGGGTGATAGAACAAAAACTCCGTAAAGTTAGCAATAACATGTATACATTGGACCTCGCATGCTTCGCGAAATCAATGAAGACGTATCGGTTTAGCCAAAGAAGTTGGCCGTAATTTATAAACCTTAAAACCACACAACCGGAAGGCAGTCTTGTTAGCATGTAAAAAACAGAGCATAAGCCGCGCGCAATACACAACGCATTGCGTAGCAGAAACATAGCATAAAGTACAAGTGATGGGGGAAGCGCACCTGATCTGAACGTTGCCGCCACGTACAAACCGCGTAATGACGTACACTAATGTTAAACTAAGCGGCACTGCTACAAGTACTAATTATTCAGTATATGAACTCATTTACCTCTTGCACCAGATTTTATAGACAGGTTTTGTGACCAACTTCAGATTATTAGGCATTTCTTGAAGTATGTTGCCTTGCGCAGTAGTAATGGCACATGAGCACTATGCATGGCTCGGTTAAGGCTGGCCACATATATCAAAATAAAACTAGAAACCTTGAGTTAATACGTCCACCAATCAATAATTTTAGTTTTTTATTAATTCTGAAGTAAAGAAACTGGAATGCCCATGGATACTCGGTCTCCACATGCATGCACAAAGACGGTTCAGGAGCTGACATGCTTCCTGGATTACAACCGAGGTGACAAATCTCACTGCCAGGGTTTGCAAACGCCTGTACGGAAGCGAGGAGCATGACACTGCTTATTGCGCAAACTCTCTACACAAGCCGTATCATTTGTGATGCTACGTACTTAATTCTGAAAAAACAAACAAATGGAAGACGTGTTCTACCCAAAGAGTGTGGTGTACAAACCGTGGAGCGTTGATTCACGCATTTATCTTGTGTTCATCGAGTATTTATTGGGTATATGTGTTCTTTTGTGTTCTCTACTCGCATTCATCTGATTTTTCGGTTATGTCGTGTGATGGTACTATAATTTATTTCTCTTTCTGTTATTTTCTTGTAATCATCTAGTTTGTTTTCCGGTCACTTATTTTCTGTTTTTTTTTTTATACTCCTTGCTGATCCGAGCGTGGTTGTCATGACTCCCGGAGCGAATTATCGGCGCCGGTGTTTCGCTGTCGCTTTGCTGGTTCGGGGAGAGGTACAAGCATATCGCTGGCGCTGGCTTTCCAAACGTGCAACCTGATCAGCTTATTTTCATCAAACGTGGGACCTGCATGACACCGACGTGAGACATGAGACGGCGGGGTGGACCGTAATAAAACTGCGCAATACAAAAAATAAAAAAACAGAAAGTATATTCAGATTATTCTTGGGGAGTTGTCTCAGTAATGCTTAAAGTGAGCGTAGAGTAGGTCTTTAGTCACGCTCTTGCACGGAACGTTGCTGTCGGGCGCATTTGCTGTCACGGCGTATTTCTTCTTCTTCCTGGCGTCTGTCAGCGTCTGTGACGGCCTTACCGGAGGCTCTTTAGCACGACCCATGAAACACCCGTCCGGCATTAGATTGTTGCTATGTCGGGATTTTCCTGACACGTACACGTTTAGATATTGTCCAGGATGTGGCGTTTATTCCTCGCAGGAAATGTTCTCTTTCTACATTTGTGTTGTAACGAAGGAGGTGCATCCCGTTCACATGGTTCAGATGTATATGCATGTACCTTTTGCAAGCTCAATGGTCAAGACGCTTGGCTTGAGAGCGTGTGTCGCTGGAGGTTCGAAAGACAGTAGAGAGAAGAAAAATCGTTTGGTTATAGGCGTCCTATTTATTTATTTATTTATTTATTTATTTATTTATTTATTTATTTATTCACTTATTTATTTATTTATTTATTTGTTTATTTATTTGTTTACTTAGTTTTCCTTAGTCGCATCACAAAAAAAGAGGCATGGGTGTACGCTCAGTTTTCTCGTTCAGATGACATGAAAATGTCCTCGCGTTTTCAAAGACGAAATGGAGAAGCTCAACATGACGATTAGGAGAGAAATCAAGATAACGCTGGGTATGTGACAGAAAACATCAACGAAGGAGTAATTACGCTTCACTTATGTATATGAAGTGAACCGGTACGGTCGAAGCACACAAAACGAACTTAATCGGCAGCACGAAAATGACCGTGCCCGGCTACAGCGTCCTCGTTAAATCAAGCTATAACGTGGGCGTGACCATTGACATCATGCCAAAGGTTCTACCCAAATGCCAAAAAAAAAAGAACATGTATCAAGCATGCAACAAAGTAGGACGACAAGAATGAGCGAACTCGCTTCACAAGAAGTCCGCAGAAGATGTCATCACATGTATGATACACAGATGGCGCTCAATACCCACGAACCCATGCATGCACCAGCGGCGCAACAAACGTTAGCGGAAAAGAAATAACTGCAGGAGCAGTGTGATCTGGCAACCCAGATACACCAGAATGAGTGATCAGTCCTCCATGGCTATTGGCTATCTGTACTTGTACAGAAAACGCTATCGAACTTGTCGTTCACAGTTTTCATGCCGTAAACTTCCATGAGGGCTGGTTGTCTTTTCCCGCCATGAAAGTACTGTAAGAGCTCTTCAGGGAGAAAGCTCATTCCCGAAATGTATGTGAGCTGGACCACATGTATAGGCCTCGAACTACGGGAAGGAACTGAAGCGGCTCACGTGAGATCCAAATACAAGCCAACTGGGCTATCTAGCTAGAAAGGTCTGCAATGACGACGACATCGGAGGATATTCAAAAGAAATACTTGCGAATCTGGCTACATTGCAGACTTGGAAGGAGGGTGTGCATGCATTCAAATTCGAAATGTCTGTAAACAGATTCGTACTTTAACGGCGCAATGTTGAACAGGATTATGCCATGGAGGACGTATGCAGTATCTACGAGAAACCGCTCCACATTCATGGTAACGGACTTTCTCGGACACATGAGTGTAAATGAATGGTAAGAAAAGAAGGAGTGGAAAAAGCCGTGTGAGGCCATCCTAGCCTGGTGGACTAGAAGAAGCCGGTTAACCAGGCATAACAAATTCTTACGGCCATCTGCTAATGAATAGAGGTGGCCGCCTGCAAGGTGTCAAGAGAATATGTCGGCCCTTGTGCGATTATTTCTCTTTTGAGAGGCTATCATGCAGTATATATTTTTGTTCGTGCTGTTCATGATGATGCGAAGGCTCTTACTCATGCGTTTTAGCTTTCCTTTTGGCCACGGACCCAAGATTTTTGCAAATGATGGAGGTCGCTTATCTAAAAAAATTAGTTTTTGTAAAAGTTTTTTTTTTGAGGTCTGTCGTAAGTTTTACAATGTAGAAGAATGTGCTCAACATCTTCTTGAGCTTCTCCACATGTGCAAGTAGGACTGCCAGCTTTTGCCTATTCTATATACAGGAGCGCCATCGTGTAGGCCGTACCAAGTCGAAGCCTATGAATGACTGTTTCTACCTATCGGATAACCTTTAACGGAATATTAAATTCAATACCGGAATCAATGCTAAATAACTGGGAGTTTTTCGCACCATTTTCGAACCAGGTTTTCATAAAGAATTGGCAGCTCAGCCTATTTATCAGACAACGTGCATCGCTCATCAGTAGAGGTAGCAGTGATGTATTATTCTCCTGATGCGCTGTATGTGCCATGCGATCAGCTATGTCGGTTTCTATATGATTTCGCAGTGGCTTGGCACCCACTGGAACATTATGGTGTGGTTTAAATATAGCGTAAGTCTTCTGTATTTCATATGCGAGCACACTAGCTTTGTTACGTGCTTCTTTTTTTTTTTCAAAATTTTCTTTTCTCTCTCTTTCTCTGTCGTTCAGTATTGCACGAAATTTCTTTTTTACAATTCCTGTCGATGTACGCCAAAGTACTACGACACGTCGGAGCAGACAAGCGTCACACATGAAGCGCTTACCACGAGCCTCCATGGCAATGCCGTTTCCGAAACTACATTGCAATTCTTTCCACCAGCACAGCAGCGAAAAAGTAGGCACATGTACGCTAACAGAGCAAAACTACTTTGCTAGAAGAGTAAACTCCCGAGCGCAGCCACAAGGCACCACTGCTTCTGCTTACGCTATTGTTTCACATGGCAACGCACGGGCGGAATGCCGGCTGCGAACGTTGATCAAAATTCCGGCCGCGCGAGACTAGCTGCCTGTTGGCCGTGTCATTAGGTGCTCGACCTTCTCTGCAGACAACGCCGACGCAGCGATCGATAGGACTTTAAGCTCAACTCTGGGCGGAATAAAACTGGAGCTCGGATGGCGGTTTGACTTCTCGTTTTTTTTTCTATATTTCAATTTTCTTTTTCGTTGTGAGGCGTCTAAATTGATGTCTCCGTTGTTTCCTCGGTTAAACATCGTATGCCGCGCAAGCGCCCTCGGCACTCGATACAGAGCCCGCTTTGATAAACAAAGCTCCTAGCAACGAGCTGTGCGTTACCTGCATGCATGAGTTGAGCAACAGGGAGCGTTCATGTACACTATGCGCCTATAAATAAAACCTATATTTTTTTAAAAATTTTTCAATGCTTCGTTACCATGCGAGCACCTTATTGTAACAGTAATGAAGCGTCTTTTGTTGCTTTTTTTGGGGGGGACGGGGAAGCGGTGTATGTGATTTCGCTTTGTAGGTATATCGAAAACGCTTTACGACCACAGGCTTTGTTTGCTCCGTGAGTTCAATGTCAGCAGCTAGGCCTGCGACAAAACAAGTGGCTCGCGTCTTTTAGTTCTCAAGCCGCATAGCGAAATTAGTGAGCAGCTCATGATTATCTTGGCGCCGTGTTTTGTGAGAATTAATAATGAAGATTGCACTCGAACCTTGTGAAAGTGTATATGCCAAGCAGCGTCCGTTCGAGTACACTATTTCAATTTTTACGGTATATTCTTTCAGACCGAACACATATATGGCGCTGTTTCTCTCTAAAGCTATATTTCTCACGAACTTGCCGTTCATGTGGTGTTCGTTAGGGCCACTTCGTAATTTTTTTTTTGTGTGTGGGAAGCATTTAGATGATCTTTTTTTTTACTTGAAAACAACATCTGGGGTTTCGTGTGCCAGAATCACGGTGTGATTCTGAGGCACACCGTAGTGGAGGGCTCCGTAAAAGTTTGCCCCCTCTGGTGTCCGTTGGTGTGCACTGACATTGCACGGCTTACACTGGCTTTCAGCATTGCGCCTCCGTCGAAACCGGGGTCGAACCCACGACCTTCGGCTCAACGACCGAGTACCGTGACCGCTGTGCCAGCGCGGCAGACAGCACTTTTTACTTGGTTGTGCGCGTGCGTGCGTCTGTGTGTACGTTTGTGTTTGAAGCGAATGTAGAGAGAACTATTATTCATTTAAGTAGCTATAAATAGATGGTTTGTTTGCTGCTAATAGTTATTAAATAAATAGAAGGAAATTAATACCACCTATGTGGGCATCTGACCTAGATAAAAATCTAGAATGCGGCAACTCAGCCCAAAGATGTCAGAGATTGCAGAACGAGTGGCGCGTATTATCTTACGAAACTGTGAGAGCGCAGACCTTGTTGACATCGGTCATGACCCCTTCTTGTTGCTACAAAAAAAGAAGAAGAAAAAAAAGTAGCACTAACTTCCGAGGAAAGCTCAAGGCCGTCTAGCCTGATCGGGGGCAGCCCCCAAAAGAGACAGGGCCGAAATCAGGCACTCGTTGAATATCAGTCAAAGGCATCTCCGAAGACAAGGTGACACGGGGACGAGGACAACGACGCAGCAGGTGCCTACGTGCCCGTGCGCAACAACGCCACAACACTGCAGCGTCCGCAGTGTTGCACCGGGGGCGCGTCCTTACCTCCAACTGGATGATCACCCTGCCGTGTGCCAGGTTCTTCAGGAGTGAGGTCAAGTGTTGGTAGCCGGCCGGCGTGACACAACAGTCACCCTGCAACAACGCCAGTGTACGTGGTCAGCTTGCTGAAATGAGCCGCGACGCGGAAAATATGTAGTTAGTCTTTTATCAGGTTATCGCCGCATCCGAGCTATAGGCTTTTTTTTTGTAGCTATTTCTTTTAGCTTCCGCTTGTTGCCTTTTTCGATATATAGGATTGAAACGTTTCATTAATAACGCGCTTTCGTTTCGATGTGGCTATAATTAGTAAGGCGCTGCCGTCGCGTTCTTTCATTGTAGATTTTTTTTTTACCATGAGAGAATGAAGATTTATTAGACGTAACACAATAGAAAATAAAGGTGAATGGGGAAGCTATGGCTAGTCTTCCTTTTGCACACTTTCACTGGCCACTCCATTGATATTCGGTGCGATACTCTCGCCTAAAAAAACAACTTGTAGAAGCTTGTATTAAGTCGCGAGAACCTTGAAAAACCGAACCTGGACGACTAAGAACAATCTAGGTTGTTTCTGCGAGGTCATGCAGGTTGTTAATACGTCGGTTCTTAGAGCCGAGAAGTTCGAGTCGAACCACGTACACGACACGGGCGCCGGTCATCCATCGCTTCGGACAGCCGTCGTTGCCAGTATTCTCTCGCTGTAAGTACTCGGGGTCTTTGGCTCGGCGCCGTCGATTTTCTTCGATTAACTGCTGCCTCCTTCGTTTTTAGCGAACCAGTGATGAGTAGTGGCATTTACCCAGTTTCGGTGGCACATGGCCGTTCATGCCGGTGATAGTCTTTTGGTGCGGGGTGAACAAGGAGTGACTTGTTAAAGTTGTTCAAAGCTCGACGCGCAATCTTCAAACGTTCGCACTTGACACTGACAACACGGCACACAAACGCAGTGCCTAAGTCGTGCCAGCGCGTATCAGTCTGACGTTTTACAAGAGAGCGCAGACGATTCCTTATGGAAAGATACAGGCATATTCCGTGTTTGTAAACAGTGGTAGGCACCGTCGACATACCGAGGAGCTTGTTGCGACGTCATGGTGCGCAGGCTCCACCCAGTTGCCACCACACTCTATGATCACGTGACAACTGGCACAGCAGCCATGCAGCTGCAAAGCTGCCTCCGAGCACAACGCCGTGACGTCCCCGACACGCCGTGACGTGACTACAAGCGCCTTAGTATGTCGACAGCACCTACCGCAATTTACAAACATGGAATGGGCATATGCGGCGTTTCTTTTTTTTTTCTATAACAGCCAAATGCAGAAACCGAAACTAGGCTAAATTTCAGTGGAACGTAAAGCATAATTAAGTATCTTCCATTCCTAGAACAGTTATAATCGAAATGATGCACTACTTTATTGTAAGAAGAGCTAAAAACACAGTTTCTAATAAAAAAATGAGCCAACTACTCCAACTGTTTCAAATAAAGTGAGCCACATTCATTAAACCAGCACTGTGTCAACAAACATGATCAAAACAACCGACATGGTTCCACCCAAAATGTTTCATTTGTGTCTTAGTTGCTTTGTTAACGTGTGTACGTCCCACAATTAGGTTTTCTAGTGTGAGTTTGTACTTACTGAAGAACATGATGCTTAACGACAAAACTAAATTGTAAAGAGTAAGAGGCTGACTTGCCAATTTTCTTTTTTTTGCATCTTAGTGATTCTTTCCGACTTTAGCGCAACAGTATCTTGCAATCAGTTTACTCCAACATAGTATATTTGAAATAAAATAGAAATGAAATAAAGATATATTTTCGCTAAAGAAGAAGTGGTCGGAAATTACATGTCGTAAAACTAACTGGAACCCTTTTCAAGGCCTTCAATTTATGCTATAGGAACAAGAAAACACTGATGACAGTCTAGAAAAGTGCCCATTTCGCGAGGAAGGACCACTCGCTCTTTAAGTCTAGTATTCACCATTACGGCCATGCTTCGAGGCACGGCGGCAACGGAAGCACAAGTATGATGTCAATTGTATAGCTAAATACTGCTATACCACACATTCGAACCATTTTACACTTACTTCACGAGCTAATGCATGTTCAAATGAAATGTTTTAATCTGTGTGAGCCAAATACAAACATTACTCTACAATAATGACAATATTTGGCTATGTCAACTTCAGCCATAATACATATTTGTGGTATTTAGAGAAGAGGAACATACTGGCAAAAAGTTGTTCGAGCAGGCCCAACCATACTGTAAGGAGAAAAAAATTGCATTTTTCCCAGTTTCATTTAAAGTGCATGTGGCTATTTTAGAAGAAAAAAAAACGCCTCCCATGCGAACCAACAGGATGAGCACTGCCTGTACGCGTGCGTGTGCAATTTATATTCCCCTCAGGTTCTGCGCACTGTTGTATATCAAAGTGCAGCATACTTTCGAACCAGGACAGACAACAAGGAAACACACTAGGTGGAATGGACGCCAGGGTGAGCACCTTCTCACTGCTGATGCTTGTAGTACAAACGCTAGAAATAAATAAAACGAGGAAAAATACTCCAAAAAACAGTCAAACACGCACGACTCAAGGCCACGCAGAAGTAAGCATTAAGTATGTGCATTTCAAAACCCAAAAACAACGACAGATGGCTCCGATACACAATGTTCGAGTGGGTTCATTATTTGGAGGTCTTTTGCAACTCCAGTACCTTTTATTTTTTTTATGTCCTGGTGCTTTCGTTTAGTGTGTTCGTAGTTTTCCGCGCTACCTAAGAAGTATACAATCATTCCATCTATAGCCTACCTGTCCACCCTATAACAAAATTAAGGGTCACCAACTTTTTCGAACCGCAGTTTAGTTGCAGATAAGTAATCTTAGTGTGGTTTACTTGGCTGCAATCGGGCTGCCTTGCATGCTATACGTATGGATTAGGGCTCCAAATTAACTTCCACATCATCTTGCACTTGGACTCAAGCACAATAAGGAGGGCTTTTTCGTAGGCAACTGCCTCGATTTTGATTGAACCTGGGAACTAAAGCTCAGCAGCGGGACAACAGATGCAAATTGAGAAGTAGCCGACATTGGCCAGTACTTGGCAGCACTGATTTTTAGCCAACGTTGTCCAGTGCTAGCGAACATTTATAGTCCTGACATGACGTGTCACGGTCGGTCATGTCATGGCATGCCACTCCTCTTCGTCCGGTCGGTGTTGTGGGACCAATGGGACCTCTTGGGCAAAGCGGCATTGCTAGGACCATACTTTGACACTGGATGGAAAACTGACGCTTGAGTCCCTGGGCAACTAATGGCGCTTCAGTAGTCAGCACATAAATGGAGGGAAGTGGAAGATTTTTTTTTTGTTCCTAAACATCCTTTTTTTTTGTTTTTCGACTCCGTGTGGCCCCCTATGGTGGGCAAGCGGGTTGTTGCAAAACAGGGTTCAGTAAAAGTACAGCATTTACACTGCACCAATTTGACCCCTTTAGGTTGACCAATTCAAAACTGCTCATTAGGTTCACAACTAGTCATTCGTCTATACAAAAACGGAAACAATAGATTAAGAAAGGCACAAGTGTGTTCAAAGCCGCAATAACAAAGACTAGGCAAATCCATTGATGAGCTACTCATAATCCCTATGGTGGCTGAACGGTAGCACCACCACAGTTTCCTCTAAAAAACACTGTTTAAAATCCTATGGCCAGGAATACTTTGTCTTGCAATAGGGACCAACCCAACCACTGACTCTCATTCTGACCGTCCCTTCATCTTATGCAGGAAAAAAAAAGAACTGCACAAAACTTCAATTGAAAGGGACACTGCATAGGAAACACACGAACACATCGAGCGCAAACTACCAACCGCTTTATTGACCGCACGGTGTCACTTAAACAGGCCTTTCGAACAGAACTGCGCTGGCATGCACAAACACGCAAAGTGCTCACGCACCTTATCCATTAAAAAAAAAAACACATTTCTGCAGCATACAATATCGTGAACTAGCTTACACAGCTATTACATTTAGTTTTGATCACAAAAGCTTCGAAAACTTTCCGAGCACACGTGTTCTCGCTACATCCCAGTATCTTAATCTGCTTAAATCGTGCCTCGCATCCTCGGGCTGCGCAGGGAGTGGGCTAATTACCCATTTCATTATTTTTGACAGACTGATCTATTTAATCTGAGAGAAGAAAGCCGCCAGTGTGACCCCATTTACACTGGATGACACACAACCGGATGAAGGTTGCAAACCACCACGAAGTCAGCATGGTGTTTTCTGTACCTAAAAACAGCTCTCGTGGTTGTGCTGCAGAATTTCACGCGGGAGTGGGGGAGAGGGGGGGGAGAAGAGGCGCCAGTTATTGTGGCAAGAAGCATGCCAAGCCGTGGAGCAATGCGACGTGGGAGTCGTTTACGAGGTTCCGATCTCCTGCAGCCAATATTATGTGCGGCAGACAGGCCGCCGCGTATGCAACTACACGCGGGAACGCCAGCTGTCTCTCAAAAATAATGAAATGGCCGATTGTCCCTCTCACTGCACAGCCTGAGGATTTGAGGCGTGATTTCAGCAGAACGAGATACTGGGACGTAGCGAGAACACGTGTGCGCGGGAATGTTTTCGAAGCTTTTGTGATCAAAACTAAAGGTAATAGATGTGTAAGCGAGGCCTCGATATCGCTTTTACGGTGCATAAATATCTTTTTTCGTGATAAGGTGCGTTAGCAATAGGCGTGTTTGTGTGCGCCTGGGAAGTTCTGTTCGGATAGGCCTATGTAAGGGACACCGTGCAGTCATAAAACAGTGTATATAGTTTGCACTCGATCTGCTCACGTGTTTTTTTTTTAATGCTCCTTTCTATTTTCACGTGATTATTTGCTGCGTGGAATGAAACAAATAGCCCTTAAGACGTCCTGGTCTCCTTCATACTCTTCTTTCTCTGCCTTTCCACCTGGTAACATGCTGGCCTGTCATTTATGTTCATATCACACTCGTATAGTGCATATTCCTTTTAAATGTTTGGTAGCAGAAATCGGAAATAAGGGCGAAAAACAGCTCACCAGAATGTCTCCTTTTGCAGAGTCGAATCCAGCAGATACGATCACCAACTCCGGGTCAAACTGGGACGAAAACGTGAATCATTTGTAAGCAGTCCCTCGCACTGCAATGGTGACGAACGAAAATTAAGCCTACCGCCATCTGAAATGATTTCGTTCCGACTCATGTGCCACTCGGTAGCTGAGGTGCCTTATTTTTCCTTCTGCAAGCTGCTATGATCTGAGTGCGTCAGTGATCCTGCTAACTCGACATCGTGCAGCTGAAATGCATTGCCGTACCATTTTTAGAGGTACATGATTATGATTTTGAGGCCGGTAGTAGCATAGTCATCGGCAAAACAGTTTTAGTACAGCCATCACCACTTTCTCATTTTTGTTCCTTGTGGGAGAGTTGTTTTAAGAATCGTGTCAATCTTTAGTTCCAATCTGCAGCAGCGCCACTTACTTACAGAACCAACGTGAATAGCTTATATCGATATTTCGCCCCTTACGTGATTATTTCATTCATAAACATTATAAACTCGACAACTTACCCTCCCCAGCTGCAAGGTGGCCTATCGGGCTCATGCCCTGCTTAACCTCCCCGCATTTCTTTCATTTTCTCTCTCTCTCTCTCTCTCTCTCTTTATGATCATTTCCGCTTGCTGTATGGAGCCCCGCCGCGGTGGTCTAGTGGCTAAGGTACACGGCTGCTGACCCGCAGGTCGCGGGATCGAATTCCGGCTGCGGCGGCTGCATTTCCGATGGAGGTGGAAATGTTGTAGGCTCGTGTACTCAGATTTGGGTGCACGTTAAAGAACCCCAGGTGGTCGAAATTTCCGGAGCCCTCCACTACTGGCGTATCTCATAATCATACGGTGGTTTTGGGACGTTAAACCCCACATATCAATCAATCAATGAATCTCGCTGTATGGAGCAAGTTTCTTGGTTTTTGCTATTAAGAACGATGTGATTGTTACGAATTCTCGAGAAAAAAAAGAAAAAATCTGCTATAGTTTAAGTGCATAAACAATTAATTATATTAGACGATGAGCTGCACGTGAAAAGACGAAACACAGAGGAGCGAAATGTTCTCATCTATTCATCTTCATCTTTACTACGAGCCTCACCTGAATTCAAATTTATGCTCCCTTCTACTCACACGAATTGCAAAGCAGCATCGTTTATACACCATTTCAATAATTATTAATCAGAGGCACGAAATACGCAGGGGAACATTAAGCTGCGAGTTTGAGTAAGTCCGGGTGATATTTTAGTGAGCTTAGGTCATGAGTGAGTCCGCATTGAATAAATTTTCGTTAGTGTGAGCCTGAGTGCGTTCAAAGCACAAGATCTGAGTGAGTTCTGCCTCTTTTTTTTTTGCCGACCTATGAGTGCAACACACAGTGTTTTGTCTTTAGGCTGGGTCAAATCCTCAGGAGTATGGACAAACTGACCCTAACCGAAACTCTACCGTAAAATGTCAACTTCTTTGTAACAACAAAAAAAGTTTCAACATATATTTTGTCAAATTTTACATGTTACTACTGTATGGTGTGGTCTGTGCAATTTTCGTTCTTTGTGTTTTAAGGCAGGTGGATCTGTCAGCTGTGGTTATACTTGTGTGAAATTCAACAAGCAAGCCAACGAGCAACAACTGCCTTCGTTCACGACTCACCTCTGAAGCGACAGGCATGACCAACTGATACATGGCCGTCAAGTAGTCGGCGTCCGTAATGGCAGGCTGAAATACCATGATGTGGAAAACATTTGAATAACGAAGCTGGCAATTTTATTACCTTTATTGCATTAAAATTTTATTATCACCACCTAGTCGAGAAGCGAAAAGACGCTGGCAGTTGGCCACGCTGAAGAGGGCACTTCAAACTTTCCCATGACCAATTAACCTGTAAACCTGACATGAATGTGCAAGTCCTTCACTTCTATTGCAAAGAAAATTAAGAAACAATAAGATTTATTTCGTCACGACTTGTGCAGCATTCTGTAAAGAACTCTGCAGGCATACCTTTGTCCAGGGTATGTTGATGTTGTATCCTTTCCCGTCACCTCTGCCAATATATGTGGCATCCGAGATTTCTGTTTTCGGAAAGATCATCGTCTTCGAATATCGATGAAGGGAGATGTACAGTACGCTGAAAAGAAACAGCAATGACAAAAAAGGAAAGAAATGTTCTTTTCTTTTTATTTTTTTATAAGACGAAAGCCCAATAGAGAAACGTCGGTCGTTTTCTGACACCATTCAGGCACCATTTCTCGATTGACATTTAAAGGTACCTGTTTATACTTGAAGCTGCCCCACTTTGTAAGACTCGCCGTATTTCTACACGGTGCTCTCAGTTGTCTCAAAAACAAACAAACAAACAAACAAAGTTAGGGGGACACGGCGAAAATGAAACTAGGTAAAAGTCTCGGTTACGAACGTATGATGTTCGTCAGACATATATATGACAACGTCTTGGACAAGAATAAATACTAACTGTTCTTGCTTTTTTCATGCGTTGTAGTTTGAGTAACTGCCATGTGGTTTGTGCCTTCCCCACATGAAAGTGTATACAACAGATATACTTAAATATATCGCAAGTGCGACATATTTATTTAACTCCAAATTGGTAAACATTTCGTTAAAAGGCACTCTGAAAATATGTATATACACAGGGTGCTCCAACTGTCTCTTGCCAGAGTTTAAAATTATGCGTGCGAACGGGCACGTCACGTGTTTTGTTTCCCCATTTCGTTCGTATTTCTCGAGCATTTATAGTAAGCAGAAAAATACTAACACTTGATAAAAAGTTATTAACTGTCTAAACGAACGTTTTGCAAACTTATCTACCGCTTTCTTATTGAAAATTCTTGCTGGGTTTGGACGTTTCAAAAGTAGGTTGATTAAACATGTATAATTAGATAGTAAAAATAACACAAACAGTAGTGCGACCTACTCGAAGCAATAGGAAGCAACGCACATTTGGTCCCTTCGACGTAGAGTGCGCCTGAATAGTTTGATTGACATGTGGTGTTTAACGTCCCAAAACCACCATGTGATTATGAGAGACGCCGTAGTGGAGGGCTCCGTAAATTTCGACCACCTGGGGTTCTTTAACGTGCACCCAAATCTGAGTACACGGGCCTACAACATTTCCGCCTCCATCGGAAATGCAGCCGCCGCAGCCGGGATTCGATCCCGCGACCTGCGGGTCAGCAGCCGAGTAGCTTAGTCACTAGACCACCGCGGCAAGGGCGTCGGAATGGTTTGGAACTCTGGCAAGAGGTGGCGGGGGCACCCCGTGTGTGACAGCCCTCAACGTGTGATGTTCGCACATTTCGACGACCGGATAAAAGGAATGCGCTTTCTGCCATTTTACTCTGCCAGAGGGTGCATGCAGTGCGGAAAAGAAGCTTTGAATCGAAGTTCTTTCCGTGAAAAAAGCGCCTTTTACGAGAAGCACATATTGATTCGAGGAAATCTGCCCGCTGTTCTCCGAAAGCGCATGGAGACAAATAACTGCCTTGAGGGCATCCATTAAATACGTGACGAGAGTAGAGAAGAAGACATATCCGCGCACACTGATTCCACAGGCTGAGCTTTGCAATATCGACCTGCGTTTTTTTTTCTAGCTTTTTAATAATGAGTGTAATCGCTGATTTCCCAGCGCCAGGAACATGATGGAGAGACAGTGGCCTCTGTGCAGTAAAAGAGCATAGATATAAAGAGAAGGGGCTGTTGGAAAACATTACGCGAATTGTTTGGTGTATGGCATTTTCTTTGAAAAAAAAAGCCCTAAAACTGGCAAAGAAAGAACAACAAAAAAAACGAACTGTGCAGGCAGTGCCCTTCAGTTTAGTTCATTTTATTTACCTTCAGCGTATCCCTAAGAGACATTATATAAAGAAGTTTCTTTAGTTAGCAGTTTGATTGTGTTAAGTTAAATACCATTTACTGAAGAAAAATCTAAGGGAAGAAGGAAGTGTGTGTTGTTTATCTTTCCTGTTAAGTTAATGATTGTCGTGACTTCATTTGAGCTAAGGACCATGAAACAAAAAATAAAGACAAAATAGAGATAAACGTTCGTGTGCTTAGTCTTCAATGTAAGTTGAGTAGTGCTTCGGACGGTTAACACTTGGTAGCAGCCTCATACTATAACGTGTTTCTCATCGTTTGTGTGGTGTTTGAAAGCGTTAAACCTCATAATCCTATTCCAACGTGCAAATTTGTTAGCTACTCTTAACGAGTTGAGAGAATTTTTTTTCTTCCTTTGTGGCAACGAGTGAAAGACAACTGTAATCATTGGCTAGTGACTAGGAATATAATAGCCACGTTGAGTCCCACTTCTTGAGGCTAAGTAATGATTTTTCAGATTTGTTACTGACATAAATCATATGCCTTGGAGAATGTATATGACTCCGGCTACTCTTTGTTGGAATACTTTTCTTTTAGGGGGCGAAGCTCCTCTTAGCCTAACCTTGTCCTGCGTGTGGCGTAACCGAGAGAAGAAGAGACGAGAAAAAAAAAAGCAGTATCTCTGGAACAGTATAATAGACGGTGCTGGTGCACAGAAGTACATACAACCTGCAGTTGAGTGAAAATATTCTAGATGGCGCTCTACCGCAAGCCTCCGATTGGCTGCTGCGCGGGTTGTGTCTGGGTGCGCGAGAAAAGAGTGCCTCCCTCAGTCTCCTGGATAGTCGCCGTACGTGGTGAATCGTTGGTGGGGCATGGACGAAGCAGAGTAGCGGGTGCGTTGAAGACGCTGACGCTCGGCTTCCTTGGCTCGCGTCTCATCGGTTTCACCCGCGCGCCGTTATCGAACGTGATCGCATGCATGGACGGACGCATGGACGGACAGACATATGGACGGACGGGTGGATGGACGCACAGACAGACAGACGGACGGGCGAATGGACACACGAATGGGTGCATAGACCAACACATGTACGGAAGGACGGACAGAAGCAAGGGTGGACGTACGGACGCTTCGCCCCACTGATCAGCATTCACTCCGCTTATGTGCTGAGAATATTTTGTTATTTGCTTTGTTTTTCGCGAGCATGATATCACCAGAGAATGAGAGAGAGCACTACAGACAGTGGTCTGGCAGAGGAGGGAGCTCTCGCTCTGGCAATTGTTCACGCTACGACACTGTCACATGACTCCCCTGTCACTATTGTAACAGATTCACAAGCTGCTTGCCGTGCTTTCGCTCAAGGACTTGTGGCTGCACATACACACAATATCCTCTCTTCTGTCTCACCGTCCGCATTACGTCCTGTGCGTATCGTCTGGACTCCTGGACACGCCTCTCTCCATGGTAATGAACGCGTTCATGCGGTTGCCCGAGAGCTGACCGGCCGGGCTCCATTGGAAGAGCTGTCCAATCCAGACGACGCATCGACAGAACCACTAAACTACAACGGTACGCTGCAGTACTATCGACAGAGCCGTTATACGTATCCTCCCCCTCATCCTTCACTTAACAGAGCAGATGCTGTCGCTTGGCGGCAACTACAGACCAATTCATTTCCTTGCCTTTATATGCTAAATCGCTTTCATCCGACTCGCTACCCCTCCTATTGCCCCTTCTGTGGATCCGTTCCGACGGTGTACCACTCCACGTGGGAATGCTCTGCCCCACAGGGCGTGCCTCCCATTCCCAATCCCACCCCTTCCTCTTGGGAGTCTGCACTGCTCAGCTTACGCCGGCAGGAACAGCAGCAGCTGGTCCAGTGGGCTCGCAGGGTCGCGCAAGGCAATGGAGCCCTGGACTGAGGGCCCCACCCACAGAAGGCTCAGTGTGCATTTGTTATTAATAAATGTTTATTCTCTCTCTCACCAGATTTGTCAACGTAGCGTAAGGTAAAAAATCACACCGTATCCATGGAGTGAATGATGATGAGGGGGACGAAGCACCCGTCCATCCGTTTATGCGTCCATCCGGGCGTCCGTGCTTCTGTCTGTCCGTCTATGCATCCGTCCGTCTGTCTGTCTATCTGCCTGTCTGTTTGTCTGTCCGTCCGTGCATCTTTCCGTTTGTTTGTCGGTTCATCTAGTGAACACTCCAAGTACCACCATCTCGCATCTTTTCATCATATACAAGTACCGCCATCCAGCGGACATTCTAAGGACTAAACAAAGGTTGCCACTACTACAAACACGGGACGTACGACCCGCGGCGCTTCGCCCGCTAAAAGCAGATATGCTCCGAAGACACCGAAGACATCAGACGCGGGCTGTGTGACCCGAAGGTCAAATGCTTACGAGTTGCTGTCGTAGAAAATGTCCTGCGTGCCGTTTCCATGGTGAACGTCCCAATCGAAAATGAGAATCCTGCAAACAAGACGATAGCTGATATATGCTTGTGCGCTTATGAGATTGAAAAAAAAAAAGAAAACATTACGCGGTCGGAATATGCATGCGCAATAGCATATGCTGATGGCCTTACGTTATCGCGAACCACTCGAAAAACGATCGATTGCTGCGGCGGGCCTAAAAATGAGCTATTCCAACGCACCATCGCCGCATTAATATCAATGCTTTCTTAATGTCCAGAGCTTACAAAGGCCGCCCTCACAATAGAGCCCTATGCACAGCGCCGATGTAGTGTACCTAGAGTATATCGACTGTGTAGTTTGATATAAGCATGCGCAGGCTAGAAGAAACGGTAGGGGGGATAGAGGGGGGGGGGCAGAACTGCTTAACGGTGCTCCACTGCCCTCTTTGGCGTTGGACACACTGAAAGGTGCATTTGCAGAAGCTGCCTCATTTACTTTTAGTGAAGCGTGGTTTTCAGTTTAAATATTTCGTAGCATTTTTGTGCACGCATAGAAAAAAGCTAATGTCTTATCCTAATCTTAAAGAAAATGTACGCACAGTTAACGTTCTCGGGGCTTTTTGCCATTCTTTCAATCCCGATATATATGTGCCCATACGCATGAAAATTCAGAATTACGATTTAAAAAAAAAAAACGAGTATTGGCCCAAAGTGCTACCATGAGAAATATTTTCCAGCCAGATACATGTCCATAATGTACTGTGGATAAATGGACGAAGAAGCTCGCAGTGCCGACCAAAGTAAAAATGCATTCATAAAAAAGACGTTCTTTTTTTATGAGTACACTTCTGCTTTGGCTGATGATATACGGTTCTTCGTCTATGTTATTCCAGGCGGGATTCCGTCCATCTTTCAACTTACTTATAAAATGATATTGTAGTTGTTTTTGAAGAAGAAAAGGCCAAGGTTAGAGAGTAGGGCACTTGTGTTTGTTTACTTTACTTTAGGATATGAATTTACATCGATCACATTTCTACAATATGAATTGATCAATTAAACTGCCTGCATAACATTCATTACTTGATACATACACGCAAGTGTATTAGAGTCTATTGAATGTCTAACTTTGGGTGTCATTTATTTATTTTTTATTTCCGGATAAGCCATTTCGGAGGAAACATCTGTTTGAAGATAGCAAAATTTTGTAAGTTGAGGCCCCACAGATCGGTTTCAATGTTTATTTGCCACTATAAAGGAGATGAATATGCACGAGTTTTCGCACATGTACCATAGGTGCTGATCCTAAAAGCAGTATTGAATCATTAATTTAATCGAATATCTTCTTGATCGGTTCCTTCATGTCTTTCTTTTTTCTGAATAGTGCAACAGACTGCGTAATGCGTGCTGTTATGGAGCGCATTAATAAACAGCTCTTCCTTAAATTCAATTTCGAATTTCAAAAGAACAATTCATCGACTTGTTGATTCTGCTTCCGGGTGCATGGTGCATGTGGGGGGAGGGGGCAGGGTGGGGGGCTCCTAAGATTTCTACCTGCCACCCTTTACCTCCCCCCCCCCTAGAACAAAGATATTCAAAAGCACCGCTCCTAAGTTCTGAGCCTCCCTGCCCCCTGAAGCAACTCACTTGCCATTAGCTCTTTCCACGTCTTTTTAGATGTTTAGACCAACTGGTGTTCATGATTGACAATCTGGGTGACAGATTTATATTCATTACGCATAGCAACTCCTTCACTCCCTCTTTTGTTGTTGTTGTGACGTTTATCATGAGACTATAAGCGAAAAAAAAAAGGAGGTATACGGCTCCGTGGTAAAGCATAATTATTACCGCAAGAATAGCGCTTTACTCATCCCAGTATATAAACTAGCGGATCATTTAGAAGGGATAGTTACCACGCAAGTTTCTCTTTGCACATACAACGCACGTTTCTGGTTTGCTTACCTCTTGAGGCCGTGACGTTGCATGGCGTATCGCGCAGCAACCGCGGCGTTGTTGAAGATGCAGAAGCCGGACACCGTGGCGGCGGCCGAGTGGTGACCCGGCGGCCGGATGAGAGCAACTCCGTTTCTGCACTGAGCAGACGGAGGGAAAACTGTCAGTCAGGACAACACCTCCAATGCGCGACGATGGCGCTGTCATAAAGCGCGTTGAGAGAAAAAGTACCACGCAAATGTGCAGCTGGATGGAACTGCATGCAGACGAGTTGGCGTTCGCAGCAGCACGTTCGGCAAATACCGAAATCATATTTTAGCCTAATAAGATCAATTTGTTGGCTAGTTGCTCGAACATCTTGAATCAGAAAATAGAGTGGTATACAAAAGAAGACAAAGCATAGAAACGAACAGCACACCACGATTCGCGTGGTTTATAATGCTTGTTTCTGTATTGCAGCGATTGGGTGTTGCCTGGTGCTCGTTCCACGATGATCGCAGCGGGATACTTGAACGTGGTGAACCTGTCACGGCAATATGCTTCGTCTCCATTTATACCGCGCTGCTTGCTGATGGACGATGCTTTTCAGCCTCAAAAATTTTCGCTCGTGCATATTTGAGAGGCTCGCTCGTGTTTCAGCTTATATGTTAGATGAGTGACATATAAATGAACATCTTTCAAGGGCAAAGCCGTTCGAGTCGGCCGCAAAGACTTTCGTGTGCACAAACCAAGAAACTATATCGCCGTCATGAACGGGTGTGTGCCGCAGATATTGTCGGTAAAATCTCACCACTAACCGGGGGTTCACTGAAAGAGAAAAATGCGACAGACGGTTGTCAAGCACCAATTAAATCTTCTAGACAGATGTAACAAGTGATTGAGAGAAACTTTACTAAACCATATCGTGTAACACCATGACCGCCCGTGTACGCTTTTCTGAAGAATCTCAGCGGAGTGCTTCAGTGGTATACCTACAACGAGATAATAACGGAAAAGGCAATGTCGCGGCTACAGGAAGACCCCGAAACGATGAAAGGTCCACGCTAACGACGACGTACCTGTAGTTATGCATATGAGCGGTGCGAACACTCGGTTTTAGCGTGAGTTTCTTTCTCTGCAACTTCGACATCCGTATCGTGTCTGTGACCGTCTGCCGTTCAACTCGAACCTCTATCCAATGAGAATAAACTTATAAACTGCCTCGCATCACTTGCCTAAAGCCTAGCCACAAACGAATAATCGTCCAGATTCGTTCCTTCGGGCCTTGCTCGACTTATTGCAAGGTTAGCCGGCTTTTGGTTTCTATTTGTCCAAAGACTTACAACCACACTTATGTCATTAGGTCTCCCAACAACTGTGCGTTAATTAGGATCCAACGTCATCTCTTGTTCAAGTAAGTATGTGTTGCTATTGTATTTTTCATCCACCTGATGAATATATTCCTTGTTCTAAGGCCTATTTGTGTGATTCTGAATTCCAACACCGATACTGCGCAGTGTGCGCAGGCCTATAGCTTTACAAATAATTGATTGATTGATATGTGAGTTTAACGTCAGAAAACCACCTTATGACTATGAGAGACGCCATAGTGGAGGGCTCCGGAAATTTCGACCACCTAGGGTTCTTCGACGTGCACACAAATCTGAGCACACAGGCGTACAACATTTCCGCCTCCATCGGAAATGCAGTCACCGCAGCCGGAACTCGATCCCGTGACCTGCGGGTCAGCAGCCGAGTACATTAGCCGCTAGACCATCATCATCATCAGCCTGACTACGTCCACTGCAGGACAAAGGCATCTCCCATGTTCTGCTAGCTAACTCGGTTCTGTGCTTGCTGCTGCCACTTTATACCCGCAAACTTCTTAATCTCATCTGCCCACCTAACCTTCTGTCTCCCCCTAACTCGCTTGCCTTCTCTGGGAATCGCGTCTCTCATAATCATATGGTGGTTTTGGGACGTTAAACCCCACATATCAATCAATTCTCTGGGAATCCAGTTAGTTACCCTTTATAACCAGCGGTTATCCTGTCTACGCACTACATGCCCTGCCCATGTCCATTTCCTCGTCTTGATTTCAACTATGATATCCTTAACCCTGGTTAATTCTCTAATCCACTCTGTTCTCTTCTTGTCTCTTAAGGTTACACCTACCATTTTCATTTCCATTGCTCGCTGCGTCGTCCTCAATTTAAGCTGAACCCTCTTTGTAAGTCTCCAGGTTTCTGCTCCGCTAATCACCGGCAAGACGCAGCTGTCATATACTTTCCTTTTGAGGGATAGTGGCAATCTACCTGTCATAATTTTAGAGTGCTTGCCAAATGTGCTCCACCCCACTCTTATTCTTCTAGTTCCTTCAGTCTCGTGGTTTGGCTCCACTGTTATTACCTGTCCTAAGTAGACATAGTAATTTACAACTTGAAGTGCCCTATTACTTATCTCGAAGCGCTGCTCTTTTCGAGGTTGTTGTACATTACTTTCGTTTTCTGCAGATTAATTTTAAGAACCACCTTTCTGCTCTCCTTGTCTAACTCCGTAATCATGAGTTGCAATTCGTCCCCTGAGTTACTCAGCAATGCAATGTCATCGGCGAAGCGCAGGTTACTAAAAGTACTCTCCATTAACACTTATCCCTAACTGTTCCCATTCTATGCCTCTGAAAACCTCCTGTAAGCACGCGGTAAATAGCATTGGGGAGATTGTATCCCCCTGCCTTACACCCTTCTTGATTGGTATTCTGTTGCTTTTTTTATGAAGCACTATGGTAGCAGACCACCGCAGTGGGTAAATTCTGTATTTTTACAAAGCATCGCAGCATTCATGTAGTACATTCGCTTTAGGCTTTAAGCATGCACGGGTGCTCATGCCTGTGTGAGCGCGTCCTTGAATTGACATTCATGCCTTATTTATCGTTTAGCCACAATTTGATAATCGCTAAACAAATAAAAATACCTACGTATCTTAACCTCGTCTGCGTCTAAATATAAGAGTGGGGAATTTGTCTGGTGTCGTTCACTGCGGCAAACACCTCTTCCATTTTTTAAAATGAAGACGACTATGCTGTGGCATACTTCACGACGATAGCGTATTGTTAGAACTTCGAATCTGCATATTTTTTTTTGTAGTCACCATCATCATCGACTTCCTACCTGTGCTCTCACTTGCATTTTGTGAATGATCTTTAAAGTGACGCTAAAGAGAAAAACGACTTGTCTGGTAGCAGTAAACTATACATCTTCCCAATACCAAAAAGACCACACTTGCGGCGGGAAATCTCTTGGCAAGCGAGAAAACGCGCGAAAATTAAATGTGACGCCGCCTTGAAGTTTTCGCACCGTTATCTGTGGCGTCGCATATTCTGACGGTGCTAGTCACTGTTGCCTCGTCCTTTCCTCATCGCTCTGTGTGCTGTTAAAATTTTGAGAGGGCCTGAGTAGTTAATAAAGGAAGCACAAAGGGGCCGAACCCTTAACATACCGTGTTTTAGAAAAAAAAACAATAGCCCCGAAGTCTGATAAGTGCCCTTTGAAATCCATGACTTGAAACATGGGTGTTCTGGCATAGAATCTAAAGATGAATTAATCAACTTAATTTCTTGCTTTATTAATAAGCCAATGGCGGTGAGATTAACGACATTAGAATTCTAATAGTGCAATTTCTTAACTTAAGTCGATTCTTTACTTGTCTTTGGTGTCCCTTTAATGCGCCCTTATATAGAAGCTCACATTTTCCGGTCTCAGCAACATAACGCCGTCGACCAGCTGAAGCGTCTATACCAATGTCCATAAACGCCAACGTAACAGGCGGAAAATAACACGCCTCACAAACGCTGCGTAAAGTCTGCGAAACTTTATTAAATGTGGCGCCCGTGTACAGACAAATCCTACAGCTCACTTATTACGATCCCTTGGCAGCAAACAGCAATGATACAAGCAAGGAAAAAAAATAATCAAAACAGTTTCGAAACAAACACAAGATGAAGTCGCTGGATCACATCCTAGAAACGTCAACGAGTTGAACTTCCTCGAGCGGTCTCGCATAAATGTGAGTCTCACGTGCAATAAACCTTTCGTCAAAAGGCAGCGTTTTCAGGGCGTGTCCTTTCCCGCGCTTTGTGTCTTTACCTTCCCGGTGCTGAAGACTCGCCGTTGCGGTAATATATCTATCCGCTACGAGGTCACTGGGAATTCTAGCGAAACGAGGAAAGGAAGGAAGCGCAAGTAAAATATACGCCAGTTCTTATTAAGCGTATGCACGAAATAAAAAAAGATAATAGAAGAGTCGTAAGTATATTCATGCGAGTCTGTCAACAAGCTTTAGTTGTGATCACTGGAAGACGTTGAGGATGTTTTGCCGTCAGCCTCGCATGCCGCTCCCACTCTGCTCTAAGCACACACTAAGATTCATTGTTTAGCCAATATTCGTTGTCGAATCCCGCAGTGACAGCCCAGCGCAGTACCTGCCTCTTTCTTGAAAGGAGTGTCATAAGGCTCCAAGAGAAGCAGAAGCGAAATATGCCTTGTGATGTCATGCGAACACTGATCGTTCGCAGGTGACACGTGTGACTGTTTGCGATGGCCAAACCTGGCGTTGAACCCTTTGAAGTCATTTGCATTTATCCGCAAAAAAAGAGGAAATATACAAGGAAAGAAAGAGTGTATGCAGTCAAACTCACGAAAAGCTCACTCTTAAACTCACTTTTTCGACACGACTGCGTCGACAGCCTGTAGCAAGCAGCCGCAAGCAAGGCGGGCGCACTGGTACGTTTCCTGCGCATAAAGTGACACAACAAAGACCATACAGCAACAAATTCCAAATTAAGATACAGTGAGGTCACGGGGCAATATTCCACGCCTTCAAGGTGGAACTGTTCGTTTGGCTGAACTTGTAGCCGGTAAACGGAAAGACGTCGGACTCCGCAGTTTTGCCGACACTCAGCGCCACCTGTCGACGCAGTTTTGAGTAGTGCAACGCCCGCCTTCCGTGCACAGTTTGTTGCGCAACCAGGTGCAACTACAGCGACCGAAACAAGGATTCTGCTAAATATTAGGTGTGCTAAATATCATGTACTCAATCTTAACAATAGCAAAATGATCTACAACAGCCCTGAAGCTTCTAGAACGAACATGGTGGATGTCGTTTGCTTGAGCGTTACTTACAGTCTTTGTGGGCGAAAACTGAATACAGCAGAAGTGAAACAAGAAACCCGCGTGGCTGCTCAAGATAAGGGCACTTAGAAAGAGGGGCACGCGCTCTATATAGCAATGGCGGTGCAGCAGTAGAGACAATGTGCGAGGCGTTTAACTTCTGTTTGTTCCAGTGTACTTATGGTGAATATGATAAAGAGAGACCAGGTGAGTTCATTTGTAATTAGTGTGTATAATGTACCCGACATGCGGCAATTAACCGGAGAATGGTATCGACTAGTCGTGTCATGTGTATCGGAGGGACAAAGCTGTCAGTGAGATTAGCATAATGAGCGTTGAGAAAATTAAAACGCAGTGACAGACTACACAACCAATGGTCGAAAATATTAGAAAGCTTGCAAAGACTGAGACAATGGACACGGGATAGGTGTGTCAGATAGCTGGAATAGGCTTCGGTCTGGCAGTGTAGACAAATTAGGCCCATAACGGTGACGATGGTTGTAGTAATAACTAGTTGTTTATGCATATCGCCGCTTTTGAGGGCTTCCTCCCAGCTCCAAAGCACCCGCAAACGGGCGGAGAAACCATGTATGGTCTTCCGGCTCCAACGTGGGCGCGGCACGCCACTGCGACTCTGTAGTTCCTCAGAACCCAAATAAATGTTGCTGACTGACTGAGTAATAACTAGTAACTACAGCGTAGAGACGCGTCGTATCACCTTGCATGTGTGAACAGGCGTGCGTTTTTGCGACTCATGAACAGGAAACACCAACTGGCAAATGCGCATTACCTGGCATATGCTGGTCGCCGGATCGAGGCTATGGTTCTCCAACGTCACTTCTTCCAAGGACATTTTCTCTGTCGCCTTGATCAACTCGATGTGCTCCTTCCTGGTCATTAAAAGACGCGCACGTATAGTGAGAGGAGGTGCGGGAGGCAGCACGGAACAGACATAATTTTTTTTAATTCTATCATTGTCAGCATAGTGTTACTTACACAAAAGTATGTTCAAGTTATCGACATAACGCGTAGCACAAATTGTTGAACATTGCGTCTGCATTGGAGGAAAGTGCAGTTTGACGTACAGAGCACACACACAAAAAAGAAAAAAAAAGTCATGTGCCCAGAGACAGAGAGGGACGCAAGAGCACGCAACTTCCAACCAGCTTTGCGTGTCTTTCTTTGTACTAGTTCATCAGATTTAATTTAGTTTGATTTCAAACGTTATTTCTTGCCCTATTAGTCCAACTAAAGTAGCTTCGGCAAGTCCGAGGATAAACATTCGAATGTGATATAGTTGCGGTGCCACGAAAAAAAAAGAGCCTAATTCGGCAGAATCGTCATATACTTACGTGTGCACCAACCCAAGCTCTTCATCAGTAGCGTAACGCGACTGTTGAAAAAAAAAAAAGGAGAAAGAGAAGGGTTACGGGACGTCAACTCATATACAAACCGTTTTTTTTTTTTTTTTTTGCTAGAGTAACTGAAGCTTCGTTGAATCGGCAGAAAGCAACACGGGTACATCGTAGGTATGACTGCAGGTATGACACCTTTTGTAAGAGGCATAACGTCACCCTGGCACTACAGAAAACTAAAATGATGGACATTCTAAAGTATGGCTCTATAAAACAAAAAGAAGTTAAGGCAGCTTCGTACTGAAGGAAGTTGGTTGGTTGGTTCCTCAATAGCTTGGCGCAACCCACACAGGGGGATAGGCCATGAATCGGACGGGGCCTCTCTCTTTGTATACTTTTGTCCGTGTGTCGTTTCTTCCTTCTCTCTCTCTCTCTCTCTCTCTCTCTCTCTCTCTCTCTCTCTCTCTATATATATATATATATATATATATATATATATATATATATATATATATATATATATATATATATATATATATATATATATATATATAGAGAGAGAGAGAGAGAGAGAGAGAGAGAACAACGATAAAAAGACAAAAATATACACAGAAGAGAGAGAGAAAAAAGAAACGGATGAGTATCTTCTCTATTTTTATCTTTCTCTATTTCTCACTTCCTCTTTCTTTCTATTGATTTCTCCTTATGTCTATTTAGGCTGTGTTCATAATTCAAGACAGCAACGTAGACAGTCTCTGTAGACAGCTCAGAAGAAAGCACCGGGCCCATGCTGTCTGAACTATGGAACACGTCTGGACGGCTTCTACGCGACGAGGCGCCACCTCACGTTGAGAAAAGAAAGCTAAAATAAACAAATGTGACTGTTAATTTTTTTAGCTTTTTAAAGACGATAGTCTTTCTTGGGGACCTTCGATGCAAAAGTTTCGGTCTGTCTGTCTGTCTGTCTGTCTGTCTGTCTGTCTGTCTGTCTGTCTGTCTGTCTGTCTGTCTGTCCGTCTGTCTGTTTGTCTGTCTGTCTGTCTGTCTGTCTGTCTGTCTGTCTGTCTGTACATTTGTATGGTTATCCACTCTTAACGGCACCGGGTACTTGAAACGGCCGGCCCCATCCACAGCGTCAACCAATGTTGCTCAAGGTTTAGCGTTTATACTTGTGCAAAAGTTAAAATAAAAAGCAACTATTGCGCAAGTCTGGGGCACCATAACAACACGTATATATTCTGCATGTGCATCCTTTACTAGAAAAGGTATACATAACGGCATACAAAAAAAGGTATACAAAAGGTATACATATACGAACTGCGAAACCGTTCAGTCGTTCATGGAGAAACTTAAACACCAGCAACCCACTTGACTTTGATCTTTCTTTGCGCTTCGCCCTCTATTTTTCCACTGCGTATCCTGAACAGGCTTCTATTTATGTTCCACTTTTTATCACTTTTTTCATATCAATGCATTGTATTTTTGAAATGTTGCGATTTCTGAACCGTTATATATTTGTTTCTTAGTTCTGTATGAGCAGATGTTTGTCATCGCAGTTCTTTTGTATGTGTACGCGTGGACCATTACAATTGTGTAAGTACTGGCGTTTTACTTTGATGTACTAGTTCTTCATGGTGTAAGCTCTACGTGACGTGTTTCCTTTCCTGTTGTATCTTCATATTTGTTTCCTTTTTTGTATCACCCACCCCTGCCTAAGGCCTCATGTGTGAGGCTGGCAGTACTTCTGAAATAATAAGTAATTTTAAGGACCGAAGCGCTTATCACGCTGCGCTGACCATGCAACGCTTGCACGAAAAGGTGAGTGTTTTCCAACGCTTTGCTAAGACGCGATAGTGGTGGCACCTACCCGTCGCCTTGCGTTCTACACCTTATCACCTCTGAGATGGGCGCGCACACCCGTCTCAGAGCCACGCGCTTCGTTTTTCAAGAACACTGCCACGTGGCGCTCATGTCTGACGTGTGGAGTAACGATGCGCTCGTTCGCCTCCACTGCACGCTCGAGGCACTTTAACGCAGCGCTTCCAGAATACCGTTCACCGATTTTCATGCGCAGAACATCAAATAAATTGTTCACTCTTTCCGCACGCAAGACTATCGTCTTCCGACGACATCTGCAGACTACATGTAGATACGGGGTCGATTTTTTAGTTAAAATCTAAGAAAAATTGAACTCTACTCACATTGAGTGTCGGGAGAAACGTGTGTTTCTGTGCAGATGACTATTACGGCGAGTTTCGAGCAATTTGTTGAGCCACCATCTTGTTTGTACAGCAAAGTAGCTGCAGCATCGTATTTGTCTACAATGCGGTTTTCTCGAAGCTGTCTATTTTCCGGCTACGTGAATCAGACTTATGGCGGCCGCCGTCCCCTTAGCTGTATATTTAGCCGTCTACGATGAGTATGAGAACACACCCATATATCTCTTTTTCGTTCTCTTTCTGTTTTTCTTAAATTTACCTGTATTTCTCTCTTTACTTTCTCCTCTACTCTTAGTAGCATATTTCCTCCTCAACCTCAGTCCCCTTCCCCAGTTTGAGAGGAAGATCCCCTCCTTTAACTGATAGGATAATCTCCTCTTTTCTGAGCTGTTGCACGGGAGCACAAGAGCTGACGTCATCGTTTCAGCAGTGCATTTTGTGGCGGTTACGCAGGAGTGCTGACACTTTTTCGAAGGCAGGTTTGCTCTGCCATACGGATCTTCTGCATGCAGAGACGGTTCTATAAGGAGGTTTGACACTCTGCAAATGTTGATATTTTATTTCAATGTTGAACCTAATTTTTTTTTCATATCGCACCTATCGACATCGACACTAGCTTGACGTCAGGCTAAACTACAAATTCTGGTGACCACGCGCTGCAGTCTGGCAAGTTGTGGTGACGTCAGGTACCGAGACATCCAAGGTGGCCGCTTTTGCGTCCCGAAAACATTCAAAATAGCCACTTTTGCGTCACCAATGGAGCCACGGGTCAATGCGGTCGTGGAAACATCACCATATCTCGCGGGAGCACGCGACAATAAACCCGTACCGTGCTGTGACGTCAAGGTAGAGTAGGAACTGAAAACTAAGTTCTGAAAACGTGCTGTAATTACTTTTTCTTGATGCACTCGAACTTAGCACAATATTTTGTAATCCTAAAGCATTTCATTTAACGCAAGAAATACATATTTAACATCATCTCACACAGACTGTATTATGCATCGGTGCTCGTTTGCGCTTGCAGCAGATACAAGTGCACTCTGATTCAATCTACCCTCGCTTACAAATGCGCCTGAGTAACCAAGCAACAAAAACTACGAAGAAAGGAGAGGAAGAGAGTTGCACAGCACCTCTAAAATGAGTGCCCTGTCCAAAAGTCCTTTTGTCTGAAGCAGTTGGTGAGTGACCTGTAGCCTTTTAGGACTCTCTGGCATCCACCTGAGCTTTGTAAACAAGAAATATACATTGGTGGTGCTAATAAAGAACAAATAACGTGGAAACATAGCAAATAACATATAGGAAACACAAGGGGGCCTATCAAGAAACGCGCTTGCAATACTTAAGGCCCTCACATGACAATAACGTTTGGGGAACGAGCCTGTCTATACGTGCAATTCTAGATCAGAGTATGACGCCGGCAAGTCTCGCTCAAGAGCAAATAGTTTCTATGGGCACATTCAGAAGTGTCAATAAGTGCTTGGTCATTTCACGGTATCTCGGTTTGACACTGTTTTAACGAATTAGCTTATGTCAAAAGTTGTGCGTTCCGGGTGTGGGTCACATCACACACAGGCATGAAGAGGTTTGGATTAATTTTCATAGCTTATAATAACGTATTTGTATTAGTGATAAATTGACCATGTGTGATACGTCTCAAACCCGGAGCGTAACTTTCTATTTATTTTTATTTCCAAATACTCTTGGCCACCATGGCCGTAACGGGGTGGGTACAGTAAATCTTAACATAAGACAAGAAAGAGTGCAACATTTTATAATAAATACAGAACTAAAATACATTTTTAGAGCAAAGAAAAAATATTTAAAAAACGCTGTAGAAAAACAATATGCAATATGAAGTAAGTACGCGATGTATTTCCGGATGGCAATACATACATACAGCACTAGCAATAGCCAATGTTACGATATATTTTTAATGTGCTCTTCAAAGCTTTGGATGCTCTTCGAATAGAGCACAGACACTGGCAACTTATTCCACTCGTTTATCGTTCGTGGAAAAGGAGAATACGCGTATATACACATCAAGATTGGATTTTGGAAAAAAAAACACAAATTGATTGATTGCATGATCTGACATTGCTGGTCGGCCTGGGAACAAGATAAGGTTTAGTTTCAATAGTGAGGTGCCCTTTTGATAACAAAAAGAAATACATATTTAAGTCGGCCAATTTTCCAGCGTTGAGCCAGCGTAGATAATTCAAGCAACATTTCATAAACGAAGTCATTTCGAGAATAACGCGATAAAATTAGCCTTGTGGCTTTTATCTGTATTTTTTCCGTTCGATTTCTTAACTCCGACTGGAACGGCTCCTATACTGCACTGGCATATTCTAACGTTGGCCTAACGTATAGGTCAAATATGCAAGCAGCTCAACGGATAGTGTTTGCTATTATTAAACTTCTCAGCGCAAAAACTTCCGACAACAAACACAAGAGACGAGGACGAATGCAGACTTTCAAATAAATTTATTACTGCTACGACGCACATATATATGTTACAAGACTTGTAATCGAAGCTGCAGCAATCCTTCGAGGCAGTTGCATCAACAAACCATCAATAGCGTCATCTGAAAAATGATTGGCGTTTTTAAATTCGGCACGTGATGGTCCGAGGTGAGCACGTGGTTTTTGCAGTCTCTTTTGGTTTTGTGGTTTTGTTTTTGTCATTTTTTGTTTCTGCTTAAGCAAGTTATCTTTTCGTCTTTTTTGTAACATATTTTTACGTTGTTATGACTTGACTCTTTATTCGCCACTGTCAGAAGCCCCAAGGGCAGTGGTCGCTTTTGTCTTCGCGATGGACTGTTGTACAAGGTCAATTTCTCGGCATATGGTGCGCGGTATTTGCTAGTGCTTCCCCAAAGCCTGCGGTACGACGTCCTCCATTTCATGCATGATGACCCGACGTCTTGCCATCTTGGATTCATTCGCGCTTTGCATCGAACTCAAGAGCACTTCTACTGGCCTAAAATGCGACAATGTACGAAGCAATTAATACGTCTCCAGTTGCGACAAATTCCAGCGCCACAAACGTCCTACAAGCAGTCCGCATGGCCTCCTTCACCCTATAACGCCGCTCACACCTTTCGAACAAGTTGGTGTCGACCTGCTAGGACCGTTTCCGCGGTCTTGCAACAACAACCGCTGGATCATAGTCTGCGTCGATCACCTTACCAGATATGCGGAAACTGCTGCGATACCATCTTCCACAGCGAATTCCGTCGCCTCTTTCCTGTTACGATCCATCGTTCTTCACCATGGTCCACCTCGTGTCATCATCAGTGATCGCGGTCGCCAGTTCGTCACCGACACTGTAGAGGAATTGCTTCGTCTTTGCACTTCGCAGTTTCACCATTCAACGCCATATCATCCCCTGACGAATGACCTTGTGGAATGCACAAACCGCACGCCTACTAATATGCTGGCTATGTATGTATCCTAATATGCTGGCTATGTATGTATCCTCAAATCACCCTCTTGTTGTTTATCCCCTCTATCCTCAAATCACAGGAACTGGGATGACATTTTGCCATTCATCGCCTATGCTTATAATACAGCGAAGCACGGAACCACGGACTTCACTCCGTTCTACCCACTCTACGCTCGACAATCGCGCAGCTGCCTCAATACAATACTTCCATTCGAGCTCAATACGAACGATTCAGTTGCTCAAACGCTGTGCCGAGCTGAAGAAGCCCGCCAAACTGCCCATATTCGCACACAGTCATCGCAAGATCGCTCCAAGCAGAGGTATGATCAACGCCACGACACCGTTTCATTCAAAGAGGGGGACCTCGAGTGGTTGTGGACCCTTCAGCGGAAACGTGGCTTGTGCCAGAAATTTTCAGCGCACTATGTCGGTCCATTTGTTATCGTAAATCGCTTGAGTGACTTGACCTGCGTGGTGGCACGCTTGACGTCAGCTGGTCGTCGGTCAAGCCAAACACAGTTGGCGGTTGTAGCTCGTCTCAAGCAGTTCTATCCCACACTACGCCAATGCTTCGCCTCGCCCAGCGGGCTTTGTCTGTGAACCGGGGAATGATGCGGTATGAGCCGGGCCATGTTTTGGGTACAAAGGCAGAGGAAGAGGAAGTTACTTGGTTCGGCCTATGTTCGCCATCATCGCCGATCGTCGCCTGATCTCTCCTGTATATAAACTCAATATAACCGTAACAATATATATGTGCGTCGTAGCAGTAATAAATTTAGTTGAAAGCCTGCGCTTGTTTTCGTCTCTTGCTTTCGTTGTCGGAAGTTCTTGCGCTGAGAAGTTTAGTAATGAATTACCAACTAGCCCAATCCCACATTTTACCTCAGTGTTGGCTAGTTTTAGTTTGCGGCGAAGGAACCATAACTTTTTTTTGCAGCTGCAGAAATGCTGCTGAGGTGTGGTTTTCAACTTGAGTTTTTTTGAAATTATTAAGCCTAGGTATTTTATTGAGTGTGCTTTGTTCATAGTTATGGAAATCATCTCATTATAACATTTGATACGCCCTTTTTCCAGTTCGTTACTCTGAGCATAACTGATTTGGATTCATTCGTTTTCATTTGCCATTTAGCGCCCCACCGCGTTGTTTTAGTGGCTAAGGTGCTGGGCTGCTGACCCGCAGGTTGCGGGATCGAATCTCGGCTGCGGCGGCTGCATTTCCGATGGAGGCGGAAATGCTGTAGGCCAGTGTACTTAGATTTCGGTGGTCGTTAAAGAAGCCCAGGTGGTCGAAATTAGTGGAGCCCTCCACTACGGCGTCTTTCATAAACATATGGTGGTTTGGGACGTTAAACCCCACATATCAATCAATCATTTGCCATTTAGCGGCCAATCCATCTACAGCTTTAAGAGCTTGCTTCAGTGACGCCTAATCATTCTGGTTATTATTTTCACGACATAATAGGCAGTCATCTGCCGAAAACCTGACGGTTACGTCATTTCTGATGTCATGAGCATTATCGTTTTTCTAAATAATAAAAAAAAGAAGTGGTCCTAAGACGGATCCCTGCGGCACTCCTAAAGTTATCTTAAGGAGCTTCGATTCGCTACCGTTTATTTCGACGTATTGTGTTCGACCTGTGATGCCTAAGTGGATCCACGCTACAACTTCCTAATTTATATTCATTTCCATTAGCTTCTTTAGAAACTTAGTGAGAGAAACCCGATCAAAAGTCCTCGATAAATTTAAGCATATAGCGTCAATCTGTTTTCTGTTATTCAGCGCAGTTGAAAAGTCATTAATTGTTTCTACCAATTGTGTAACAGTGGTTTCGTCTAAAGCCATGCTCATTTAAAAAGAAAGCTTTCTTGTTTTCAAGGTAACCATAGATTGATTTTGATATTATGTGCCCAAGAAGCTTGTAGCACACACACGTCAATGAAATGGGCCGATAGTCTTCGATGGTTTGCTTTTCAACTGATTTGTGTACCAGAACAACTTTTGCGACTAGCCAATCGTCTGGGATCTGTTTCTGTGCTATCGATGTCTCCAATATAATCTCAAGATAGCCGCCTACCCACTCCGAATACCTGCGTGAAAACTCATTTGGTGTACCGTCAGGACTTATGGATTTATTATCTTCAGTATTAGCAAAAGTGCTACAATACTTTCATATTGCACCTCTATATCAGGCATTGGTGATATGTATGGCGATTGCAGCGCAAAGGATGAAAAACCATTTGCAGAACTATTAGTAAAAACGGACTGAAAAAAATATTAAAACAACTTGAAATACGAGAGCATTCCGTCACATAAGCTTTAAACATAAGCTTTAAAACATAAGCTTTAAAACATTTTCGAACCCAGATGGTGTAAAATGACGAGACGCTTATAGCAACTCTTCGATGTGCCCTTCGACTCTGTTTGCACTTGACGGAGTCTTGATTTTAAGCGAAACAAAGCAATATCTCTGTGATGGAAACTATAGGTCGACCACACCGAGAAACGATTACTGAAAGGCAGCAGGTGCAACGATGGTCAGGTGTAAGCTATGCGCTAACAGTTGTGACATTCAGCTCATAGAGCTAAAGCACAACACACGAGGTCAAAAATTACAATTACGAGCGAACATTCAATGACTCGCACGAGTGCTCAGGCAATCTTTTGAAATCAACGCAAAAACGACGGACGGGCGCTAGTGGATAATGTATACGGATTTCGCGACTTCGTACACCAAGTTCTGAAGCTAAAGGAATAATTTCTTTCTTTTATTCTTTTTTCTTTTCTACATGGCTGGCATTTTGTTCACGGACTCCCATTTCTACTCTCCATAGCTCATTTAGATTCCAAGGTGTTTTTTCTCTATTTTTTTCTTGCAGTCTTTCTGCGAATTCCTTTCGCCTTTATTTTCATGTGTTTATCTAGTCGCACAGCTGCGGAAACAGGGCTACGTGTGCCTTCGGTGGCCTTGTTTTATGGCTCACGTTGGTACAGTGACCTGACTAATTTGCAACGCTGTTATACATAACGCGATGCATATACACAACGAACGATAAAGAAAAGCATACACATGCTGAACCACATATAATTTCCTTAACGTAGCACAATGCTACATAGTGGTCTCGTACAAATCCATCTTGCTCAAAGAATTCTGAACATTAAGGTACTGCCTCAGTGATCGATGCAAGCTGACCTATAGGCTGTATGTATGGCAGGACAGTATGGTAGAAGGCGACACTGTTGGCACTGCTGTTACAAGGCATCCGGGTACTTGTAACTGAAATACCAACGACGTCCGTAGGGGTGGAGTGCGCCCCCCCTAAGACAAAATTCTGCCGAAACCGATGTCTTAACGGCAATATTTGCTATTTAAGAAATCTCTAAACAGGTGTTGTGGTTATAGTTAACGTTTTGACAAGTGGATTTGTCTTCTTCCAGCTTTTAAGAAGACAAATCTACTTGCCTAAATCTCGGCTCCAGTACACGACTCCTGTATTACGGATTTTTTCATCGAAAGTTTCTATCTTATAGGAACGTGGCCAAGTTTTTTTTTATTTTACTTTCGTATATATACACTCAGGCATACAAAGGCACGCACGAACGTGCATAAAGTATCGTTTAATCTCTCACCCCATCTCGGCAAAAATTTCTGGCTACGCCCCTGTCCACATCTTGCCATTTTCTTTAACATGAAAGTGTTTTATGCTGAGGTCCACCAAGATTTGAGTGACGTATTTGCGTCACGGAAATGACGTCGAAATGGCACGATTAGAAGACGAAAATTCCGTCAACGTTATTCGAACATATGACCCCTGGGTCCGCAACAACACATGCCGGATTCGCTGTCCACTTCACCACGGCCACTTTTTTTTTTCTTTTTTTATTGGCTATGTACATACAACATTCACAAACAAGTATCACCAAACAAAGGACAAACATGAACAAAATAGAAAGGTAAGCAAGCGTCAGAGTTCACATTCCTTCATCTGTAGAAGGCTTTGTACTTGATGGAGCCACCCGAGCACATCTTGTTGAGCCTTTCCACGTTTCCACGAATGAGCAAGTATATTGAAAGAAGTACTGCCTAACCGGACGTGCATTAACATCAGCGTGACGTACCGTCATTCTAGATTGCCATATACTGTGCAGGCCCAGTAACATGACTAGGTCGCATGGTACTCCTCCTTCATTTGTAACCGGGAGAAGGCAGCACGGGGCAGGTCCTTTTTAAGTCCGTAGAAACAGTGCTTCCTGTTCCTCTCTACAGATAACTTGTCCTGCTCGGTGGTTGTCCGACTAGCCCAGAAAGCCACGTTAGTGAACAATGTTACGAACTCTCGGGTGTACCTCAGGCCTGTGCACGCGTGGGAAATATCTCCTGGGAGTTTTGTCTTGGTATTGGAGTTACTTTTTTTTCTATCTTGCTCATATTACACGCTTAACATTATTAAATTGTATGTCTATGTGTTACACAGAGTGGTCAGCATTAGTTTCTCAACTGCGTATTGGTGCAGCTATCACGTGTCGTTCGTGTATTCGCTTTTACCACGCACACTTTTGTTTTAGGGAGAGGGAGATATGCGTTCACTTCTTTTATTTTAATCATTTAAAAACAAAACAGAATCGCTCGCTTGCCTTTTCAACGGATTCCAATGTTTCAGCATATCCTTGTCGGTTACGTAGCACGTAGCAGCCATCTCGAAAGAGAACTCTGCGTGTACAAAAAGAACAGTAAGTCAAAGTGGGGCCTCGTGACAGCGCACGCAGTAACAAATGTGTCTCGGTGTTTTTTCTTTGTTTTGTTTCGGTTTTTTTTTTTTGAGCCAGTAGTATTAGCAAGTTAAAAATAAAACTCATTCGTTAAATGTTTTTTGAGAAGATGTTGCCCATATCGCAAGATCATTTCTATTGAATCATCTTACCACAGACACTTTATTTTTGAATCAATCAATGTTCTAAAAAAGTAATAAAATCAGATATTGTTTACCCCAACCATGTTCGCCATATTTCGTGTGTCTGTTCGTAGACTCACCATGAGGACGGAGTCGTTATTGTTCTTGACTGAGGACCCAAAGGTCGGGGGAACGAATTTCGGCAGCATGCAGCCGCGTTTCGATGGCAGCAGAATGCTTACGGTGCGGGTGCCCGGATTTAGATTCACGTTAAAGAATTCCCGCTGGTCCCAATTTCCGGAGTCCAAAATCGCGTTGTTTTACAGCGTGAAACCTCAACCATTATTACACGTTATTTGTTGTGGTTAACTTCGCGTAGACTCAGACGAAACACTCACCCCAGAGTGACTGTCGGGAATGTGTGCAACGACGTACGCGACGTGCTTGTTCTAAAGTTGTAGACGTGCAGATTGCGCATTCAGGCCACCCACAACGACCGTGCGCAAAAATGCGGAGGCCTCAGATGGCACGCGAGCAGTTTAGCCTGACGGTGCCTGCTTATCAGCCGTGTGTACACGTTATCATTTTTTATAGCGAGAATAACCTGCAGCTCGGGAGGGTGACACGAGTTCCGCTTGCTACAGCAGACGCGTCCAGTGCATTACAAGCTGCACACAGCTGCGACACGAATGCAGCTATACACTTCACCGATGGATAGTAGCACACCTCTTGTCGGTTGGATTGTCGAGTTCGAGGACGCCCTAAAGCGCCTCGGGCTACGAGAAGCGCCGCGGTGGAGGTTTGCGCGGATAATTTCGAGCGCCCGGAGTTGTTTGACGCGCATGTACTGACACCACGCAGCTGGTAGGCGGACGTCTAGCATTCGCGCCCATCGAAATACGACTGCTGCGGCCATGGTAGAACCCGCGTCTTTTCGAATCAGCAGTCGAGCACCGTATATACTACTGAATAAGTAGTACGTGGATAAGTAGTTCCGTTGTAAAAAACTAGGACCACAGGCCAGTTGTGGTGTCCTGCTGTAAATATATGGTTTTATGGTTTTTTTGTTGTTTTCATACATATCGCTCGGAAAGCGAGCGCTTTTTGAAGAAACAGTGTCGCGCTCAAACTGGGGATATGTTTAGGGACGGGCACTTTGGACACCGACTACAGCAGAGGGGCTAAAAGCTGTATTTCATTGAGGCTGGGTTCAAGTACTGGCTGCCTGGTATTCCACTGTAAACTTGCGTACAGCGCAGAAAAAAATGGGGACGTAGAGAAAGCGATCGTCTTTGTCGTTCTTTCTGTCCTCTCGTCTGTGTGGGCGCTGTACGCAGTACATTTCACTGGCGCAGATCTGGATGGAAAAAAAAATAAAGAAAAAAATACGTAATAGAATCGCACGTGATTAAATCGTATGGATTCCTGCAGATTTACACAAATACCGATCCATGACCACTCACTTTACACAACTCTCAGTCGTTCGGGTCGCGTTGGCTATAATACCCAGAAAAACACTCAGTAGTTTTTTTTTTAACGTGTCTTTTAGGCACGTGTAGCACAAGCTCAAAGGTGTGCACGAACACTTAAATTTTATCTTTCAGATCACCCCCGCACCCCCCAAAAAAAGAAACGTCTAGCTACAGTCCTGTTGCCCTGCCTTTTTTAACGCGCTAAAAAGGTTGCAACGTGGATGAATATTATGTCCAAGCATGTGCACTTCGTTCCCGTTTTTTCTTTCTTTCTTTCTTTCCAATTCTTCCAAACCTGCTGCGCAATCTCATCGCGGTGTAGGCTCCCATATTTGATCTCGACCTCGTCACTAACCTTATCGTTCCAGTAGGGCCAGTTAGTGTAATTATTACCCTTCACCCATGCAACGGTGAGAGGTCTCATGTGCCACGAAGCCTTTTCGTCCACTACCTGCATTATCCCACCGGCACAGTGATTACGGCCCCTGCGTCATGGACATTCTGAGTGCGCTCACTTCTCTGTACAAGCGGTCCCTTTATTCCCATAGGCCAGAAAGCACGAGCAGCGACGTACACATTCGCTCCTGACCTTAGCCCATACGTAACAACCAGTGTCTATAAATAACAGATAAATATATTTTCGGGAATATATATAGGGCAATGTAGTTCTCCTCGGGAAGCACACAAAGAACGCATTGATTCGCAGAATAGTCAATTAATGGTTCCAGAATTCATTACGAGAAACCGAGATATTGCTTCATGCCCCAACTTAAATGCCATTTGCTGTTGTCCTTGTACTGATACATGATGGCACCACGTTAAATGAAGATCTCGGCATGCAGCAAGATCTGTGGGGCAGAAATTGAATGCAATAATACTGATTATCGGACTCCGTGTGTTTATCTGTTAGTATTTGTTAGGAAACAACACAGGCATTTGCCTCTATCTGTGTTCACATACGGTTGATTTATTGACCGCGTGCCTGCATATATATATATATATATATATGTGTGTGTGTGTGTGTGTGTGTGTGTGTGTGTGTGTGTGTGTGTGTGTGTGTGTGTGTGTGTGTGTGTGTGTGTGTGTGTGTGTGTGTGCGTGTGCGTGTGCGTGTGCGTGTGTGTGTGTGTGTGTGTGTGTGTGTGTATGTGTGTGTGTGTCATATGTAGTACTTTGTTTTCATTTGCATTTTCAAATGTGTATGTACAAACCAAGGTGCACTCAGCGTTCACCTATTTTCTTTTTGGCTTAAACTGGGTCTCTCTATCGATCCCTAACGGAGAAATCATTGACTGCGTTTCATTATCGACAGCTACACGCACAGAGCGCCTGTCCCGTGTCCCTTTTTTTGCGGGCATACAGGTTTGCGTGGTTCCTGGAGCGGGCAGAATGACCACCACCCTGGAAACTGTGTCATCGTTGAAACACCGTTTAAATATTCAAGTCAGTTTAGGGTGGGCTATCACTGTATCTGCAAGGAGGCCGCTAAGGAGGTCCTATACAGCACTTTTTCAGCATGGTCAGAAAACACAGCCAATCGGCGTTCCCGAGAACGCACGAGCCAAGCATTTCAGCCTAGAACGCGGCTTGGAAGTTACAGTATATTCACAAAGTCAGCTAGCTAGAAGTGGCTCTCTTCTCCCTACATATGATGTCATAGTATGCCCAAAGCCCGCGTACGATGCTCATTTGAGCACCGTGAGCTGCATAGGTACCGTGGCCACCGCAGGAAGCCGCCACGTACAGGCATTCCCTAGAGTGCGTCGATGCACTCACTGAAATCAAGCCATGTGTTCGGAGAAAAAAAAATTGAAAAGAAATCGCACAAGGTTGCGATTCGCTGTCGATGACGCGTCTTCTTTCGTCCTTGTCATCCCCATCCATGCAGTGTTTCCCTCCTCCATTTCCCCGTCCCTGCGTAGCTTTCAGCGCGCTCTCTGGTGCGGAAAGGAAGAGAAAAGCCCTTAAAGGATGTGCATTAACCCCGCTCGTACTTCACACACTACAAAAAAAAAAAACGTCAAGCCTGCACGGAAGGCACAGCACAGTCACAGCGAAAGCTAGAAGAGCGGCTTTTCAGAGCTTTTTCTAAACTCCCACTGGGTAACTGCTGCAAGCACACTTTCTTGGTGCTGTTATGCCTGCGAGTCCGCCGCGAACGTCCGTGCCTCGGAAAAAAGAAATCTGTGTAAAGGCCAGCACGCGAGCCCGCCTGACGCGAACAACTCAACGGCGTCAACACGCGGCGGCGTCTTTCTGGCGCGCACGTGCAGTGAGTCAGCTCAGCCAGCAAGCCCGTCGAGTAAACAACGGACGCCTTCCTGTCTGGCGGGTCTGGCGCAATGCCTAGCGACGTCACTCGTCCTTAGGTGCAGCCACCTGCAGCGCAGCCTCTCCAGATTCGATGAGAAAGAATGGCGCGTCCCAGCAGCGACCCCCATTGGAGGAGTCTGACCTCACGACCAGCGGCGCTTCTGGATGGACATTTGGGTTGGACACGGTGCATATAAAAGAAGCCCTGCGGCGCGTCGCGAGCGGTCCTATTTGAGAGCAGACCTATGTGTTAGAGAGGAGAGCTCGGCTCTTCGAGTCTCTGTCGGCCCCAGTGCCGAATTTGTAACGCCTCTGTATATATGCTGTACATAAACCTTGTTTAACTCACCGTCGTCTCGTCCGCTCGTCTATCAGCTCTGCGCAGAAGCAGTCGCGAGCTGAGAAACCTACGCTACCAAACGGCTGGTGACCTTCCCGGCGGAGTTCGAAGCAGTGGCGCCTTCGGGACCGTGTTGGCGTCGCCGTCTTTCGAAACAGTGGTTGCAGCGGTGAGATGTTGTTGTTGTTGTTGTTGTTGTTGTTGTTGTTGTTGTTGTTGTTGTTGTTGTTGTTGTTGTTGTTGTTGTTTTGTTGTTGTTGTTGTTCTCCTATTGTAAGTGGCGCATACCCACTCTGGGGGATTGGCCAAGAATCGAGTGGTTTCAGAATTTACTGTTCAGATTTTGAATGATGGAGGTTTAACAGAAAGATTACCGATAGCCTAGGAAAGTGTGTTGCTTAATGTAATGCATGCAAATATTTACATAAACGAATTTATTCTTAGAATAGAGCAATAATATGATTTTATACGTATATAATTATGTGGACCTGTTAGGATAATGAAACTGGTTAATTAGTCAACCTATTAGTTTCATCAATATAATCCCGGACGGCCGTGCATACTGTCGCATTAGAGAAACCAGAAATGGAAGCTCCAAAAGACAAAATGACAGGCAGAGATAAGTCCATACCAATACCACGTAAAGGTATTTCTAATAGGGTTTTTCGTAATGTGTTAAACCGCCTGCAGGTCAAAAAGAAATGGTCTATTGTTTCCAGTTCATCACAGAATGCACACAGCGGCGAAGGTGCCTGAGCAGACCTGTGTTTATAGAAATTTAGATTTGGTACCCGGCAACGCAGCCTTGTGATAGCTACTTCTTGTTTTCGAGTGCGGCAAAAGTCTCTTCGCCAGGGATATAATAAATGGCGATATTCTGTAGAGTTTGTTAGTGCTGAACCTTTAAAGACTTGCATAAGCGTACGTCTGCGGAATCGAGCAGCAGTAACATAAGCGGATGATGGACAGAGTGGTAGAATTGGTTCGCTGATTGACGACTTAGCTAACGAATCGGCTATTTCATTTAGAAACAAACCTTTATGTCCAGGCACCCAAACTAATCGTACTTTTCTCAAATGCGCAGGTACTAGAGCACGGAACGCCTTTGTCACTTGATTATCAGCACCAACAGAAAGTGCCGCACAGAGAGATAGGGAATCTGTTATTATGACAGCTGATGTAATTGCTGTATCTAACTTGCGTAAGGCGAGCACCACTGCCAGAAACTCAGCCACAAAAACGGGTATGAAATCGGGTAGTCGAAGGGAATAAATCCAATTTAAAATCGGGCTGAAAATACCAACCCCTGACTTTTCGTCGTATTGCAATGCGTCTGTAGCAATAATAACGTTCGTTGTAATACGGCGCAGGTGATCTTGTAGTA